TTTTGCATGAGAACAACAAATTTGGCCCATATTTGGTTATGTAATATACTTAGATTGTCATTATATGTAGCCCTAGAATAAGTCAGTTCTTGTAGGGAAAACTGGTTCCCGATATCCCTGTCAGAAATGATAATGCAGGCAAACAGTCTCGTGTACTCAGTAGGGAAGGGGACCTGTTTGCATGAAAAAGCTACCAAATTAAATGCTACTTGTTCCGAGGGTTTTAAATGTCCCAAAACAGAACAAAAGAGTTGTTTTCTTCTGTTAAAATAACAAAAAGATGGAAAATTGGTAATTGGAAAACAAAATAATTTGTTGATTTTGGACAATGAGTCATCTTTAATGCCAAAACCCAGTTACTAGTCCTTATCATTGGTTCTTTTAAACTGTACGCATGCAGTACTGACATGCGTGAAATGTTTTGGTTAAAGGGAATGTACAACATTTGCCTTTGCTGCAATTTTCAAAAATAAATGGATTTGGAGGATTATTATGTTATAGCAAATATTGTTCAACTGACTTGTTTCACGTTTTGGGCTTGTATATGCTGGAAAACCAAGAAAACCAGTCATGTTCATGTAAGTCTGGTTCCCTGAACCACTTAAGATGAAGCAGAGCAATAGGTAGACTTTGGGGAATTGTAAGGTCAGAGAATAAGTTTAGAAGGCTTGTACCCTTTCACCATTGTGTAATTCAATTGCAACGATAACGCGAATTAACTAAACATGAAAAATTAGGAACTGTTTTTAAGCCACTTTTTTCCCAATGCTGGTTGGCTAACCAGTTTTGGAAAAATACACTTTTTCTTGAAAAATGTCAGCACACCAGGAGCCATGATTTACAGGATGCTAAGCTTAAGACTTTCATTCCCTAACAATCCAGTGAAGTATTTCGTGAAAATTTGACCATGTCGTTTTTTATGCTTGGAAATGTTGTATCTTCCCTTAAAATATGTTTCATTTTTGCAATAAAATGCTCTTCAACTATTTCAATAATAACACAGTGCAGTGATAACTATGTGTTAAGTTTCATATAAAGTGTTAAACGCAGTTGAAAGAATTAAAAATAAAATAATTTTCAGAAAGAAACTCCAAACTTGTCTCTCCTATAGTTTTCAATTTCATGGATGGAGGATTAAGTATATATTAAAAAAAAGAATATAACTAATGCAATTTTAGTGTTTATATTTTTGATGTATTTGATTCTGAAAAACAAAACTTCACTTTTGTTAAAAGATAAGTTCGCTAATTGTTTGGGGGGAAGGGAAAAAGTAAAGAGAAAATTTAGTAACAATATAATCATGGTGGGATTCGAACCTGAGTCGCCTGATCGAGAGTCCTACGCCGGTCCAGCAGACCATTAACGCGCTCAAATGCACTACTAGATCTTTTTAATTATAACTGTAACATAGGCTTATCGTGGCTTTTCACGTTGACGCCCATGCACGCTTAGACGTACATCGCAGCCTGACGATGTAAATCTGCTCGTTTGATTTGGAGTGTAGCTGTTCAAGTTGATCGAAATTTATTTGTTAAAGGGTAAAGGGTGTCAACTGAACTAAAATCGTGAACTTCAATGAAATAAAACTCGTACAATCCTTGGTTTCAGTACGAAACACACGTGCTCAACGGATGCAGAGAAGCCCATTTCCTTTGTTAAATTCCTTTGTTGAATCTGGCGTTAACAATAAAATGTTTCCATTGAGGCGAAAGGATTAAACGCCGCGATCTTTTTTCACGCTTGAGTGTCTCTGAATGGGGAATATTGAAGCGGAAAATCACGAATTACAGCACTTAGGCAGCATTTTATCCCACATAATGATACTTTTTGAAGAGGAAATTGCATACTAAATATAACTATAGTTTCAAAATTAAAAAAATCGCCGTATTTAAAAAGTCGAGGTAATTTTGTTGGAAAAATTTCACCAAAACTTTCCTCGTCTTAACGTAGGCGGCGCTATATATATTTCATTCTCGCACGTGCACCGTATTCAGAGTTGGCTAGCGCATTAGCGTGTGTGTATGGCATTGCAAGGGGATGGGGGCGGGGCTGGCTGCCTGTTTTGTATACATGTACGGTTTATAACCCTTTTATTTAAAAAAAAATATTTCTCCACTTACGACTTTTAATAAATATATTTCGCTTGTTCCCCCTCCCCCCCCCCCCCATCTCATACGACAAAACAATTCCCGCCTCCCTCTTGCTCATGTGTATACCGGGGCCCTTTTATTAATATCCTTATACGCGTCTCTTTTGTTCCATTAAAGTTGACTTTTATTCAGATTGCATTTTCATTTTTTTCACTGACTTTAATTATCTATTGTTATAGTTGTAGACCTATTCAAATTTAATTCGTGAGATAAATTAAAATTGTGATGCTAGGATAAGATTGGGTAAACGGGTGATACACAGATCGGGCGGCGGCTATCGCGCTAACAATGCGCGCACTGAGAATGAAATATATATATAGCGCCGCCTACGTTAGGATGAGGAAAGTTTTGGTGAAATTTTTCCAAAAAAATTACCTCGACTTTTTAAATACGGCGAATTTTTGCATTTTGAAACTATAGATGTATTCAGTATGCAATTTCCTCTTCAAAAAGTATCATTATGTGGGATAAAGTGCTGCCTAAGTGCTGTAAATCGTGATTTTCCGCTTCAATATTCCCCATTCAGATGCACTCAAGCGTGAAAAAAGATCCCGGCGTTTAATCCTTTTCCCTCAATGGAAACATTTTATTGTTAACGCAAGATTCAACAAAGGAATGTAACAAAAGAAATAGGCTTCTCTGCATCCGTTGAACACGTGTGTTTCGTACTGAAACCAATGATTGTACGAGTTTTATTTCATTGAAGTTCACGATTTTAGCTCAGTTGACACCCTTTACCCTATTCCAATTAAATTTAGATCAATTAGAACAGCTACACCCAAAATCTAACGAATGTTTTACATCGTCAGACTGTGTTTTACGTCTAAGCGTGCATGGGCGTCAACGTGAAAAGCCACGATAAGCCTATCTTACAATTGTAATTAAGCAGAACTAGTAAAACATTTGAGTGCGTTAATGGTCTTGTGGACCGGCGTAGGACTCTCAATCAGGCGACTCAGGTTCGAGTCCCACCATAATTATATTACTTTTTTTTTCTTACCTTCCCAACTTTTTATAGCTCCATGCCCAAACATAAATTTACTGAACATATCTTTTAAATAAACTGAAGTTTTGTTTTCAGAATCCCAAACAAACTACCAAGAAAACAAACAAAACAATAACAAACAGGTATTTTTTTTCACTTTTATTTATTGTGATGATTTAATCATCCCTTTATTCAAAGAACTATGCACAGCATTTCAACAATATTTTTAAGTACACATTTACTTTTAAAATTCACCTACACAATATTTACACTGCAAGATAAGATTTATCGGACTTGAAGGGAATGTACAACATTTGCTTTTGCTGCAATTTTCAGAAATAAATGGATTTGGAGGATTAGTATGTTTTAGCAAATATTGTTAAAATGACTTTTTTCACGTTTGGGCTTGTAGATGCTGAAAAAGCCAAGAAAACCAGTCATGTATTTGCAGTCTGGTGACCCCATTTATAAGATAAAACGGAGCAATTAATAGACTTGGGGAATTGTAAGGTCAGAGAATCAGTCTAGCAGACTTATACCTCTTCACAGGTGTGTAATCAATTGCAAAGAAAATGCGGAATAAATAATTATAAAACAATTGGGAGAAATTTTTGAAAAATAGCCAGTTTTCTCCAATGCTTGTCGGCTGACCAGCGTTGGAAAAGTACCATTTTTCTTAAAAATGTCAGCACATTAGGAGCCACAATTTTACAGGATGCTTTAGACTGTCATTCCCCAACAATCCATTAAGGTATTTCGCGTTAATTTGATCATTTCGTTTTGTGATGTTTGCAAATGTTGTATCTTCCATTTAAAGAAAGGCAGTAAACATTTAATGTTTTTACAGATGAAATAAAGAAATGAAGTCAGAATATCACACAATATTGGCAAAGAATGTTGCAACCGATTGAGCTGTCCGCTTTGCTTTCGAGACGGGAAATGGGAATCGTTATTCGTTTTCCATTTTGCTTTCGAATAGGGAAGTGGGAATCGTTATTCGTTTTCCGTTTTGTTTCGAGTCGAGAAATGGGAATCGTTATTCGTTTTCCGTTTAACTGTCGAATAGGAAAGTGGGAATCGTTATTCGTTTTCCGTTTGGCTGTAGCTGTCGAGATAGGATTTTGGATTCGAAGTCCGTTATCCTATTTTGCGCGGGAAATTGGAAATATAGTTATCCGTTGTTCTTTTTGCTTAGGAATTGGGAAATGTGTTTCGTTATCCGTTTTTCTTTTTGCTTCGGAATAAGCCATTTGCGAGTTAAATTTGAATAAAATCTGGAACGCTGACTTAATACAATGCTTTGCACGTTTTAACCTAGCATTCTCCTGACCAAAGAGACTGTTACTATATCACATGATTCGGGGCAAGCCTTACGCTAGCAACCCCCAGCTCCGGCATGGTCTGGTGTCTTTGTACCATTCTCACCCATTGTGAACAATGTACTGTAACTATGCAAGAGCTTGCCCCGAATCACGTGATTAGCAACAGTGTCTTTGGTCTGGAGAATTCAAAGTTAAAATGTGCCAAGCATTCTGAGCAAGTCAGTGTACCACATGTTTTTCAAATGTAAATCCAAAGGGTATAGGTTACTCGCAAATGGCTTATTGGGGAAATGGGTTATTAAAAATTAAGAATAAGGGTTTTGAGAATGTACCGTGTACCAATAATGTTAATTAGATATCTTTTTTTTAACAATTCCCCCCCCCCAATAAAAATCATGTTGCAGGCCTATTGCGCTTTTAATTTGAATGCGTTATTGAATTTAAGTTCTTTTTCTTTGATGACTTAAAGACATAAAATGAAAACAGGAATAAACTTTTGAAGGAGAACTAATACTGGGACAAAGGAATTATGTTGTGACGTCATTTCATTCAAATATATAAAATGTTTTATTTCTAATAACATATTCACATAAATTTAAAACAAGAAAGTAATAAAATTAACCTCTGGTGGTCTTTAAGCGATTTGTAAAATACAGGGGCAGTAAAACAATTGCAATTAAGCAAATTAGCCAAATTCTTCTTCTTGTCAAGTGCAATAAATTGGCCGGCAAAACTCAAAATCGGCATTTTTTGGATTTTGCAGGCTTTTGTCACCTCGTGAAAACATTGTCGATTTGTTATACACCATTCTGCGGTTTTCTTACATTTCTCATTCATAAAAACGACTACACTTCCAAGTTGCTCTAGTGGCTTATTTCCGGACCATTGACGATGGGCCTACACGGGCTTAAGATTTTATTTTGTCTTTCCCCCCCCCCCCAAACAAATATTTTAATGCCCCCAATTCCCATAACTTTTTTGTTTAGAGTCTCTGAGTCACCCTGTATAAACCTAATGCTTTCCAATGCTTCATGAAGTCATAAAAAAACAGGCTGATACAAAAAGATAAGAAAAACAATTCGGTTTATAGGCCAAATTTACACCAAAATATAGCATATAAGGTGATTTTTTGCTTTTGTTTTACAATTTTGCCGTTAAGATGATTTTCTTTGTATACATGGTTATTTACTCCTATAAGAATCTGTTGCTTATTATTGAAAGCTGAACTGCGTTGCTTGGAATTCACTTCATGAATATTCATAACCCGGGAATATCAGCCCGGGAATTGGCCGCCATTTGCCAGGAAACTTCTCCCGAACCCTTGTCGGGGTTTAGGATCTGGCATAAACCCCAACCGACCCTGCCCACCACCGACCTTCCCCCCGCCCTTAAACCTTCCCTTCCCCCCGCCCCCTCCACCCCCACCGGATGGCTTCTGGAACTTGAACTGATTCAAATTAGTAGTCTGGTGTCCGGCTCCACTGTTGAAGTTGAATCCGTTTGAGGCGTTGTTGCTGTCGCTTCCGTCGTTGCCTTTTCTCTTGTTGGATGCGGCGCGGACACGTTTACTCTTCGTTGGGTTGTTGTTACCTTCGCGTTTTCTCTTGCGCGGCGCTCGTTTGGACGATCGGCTATCTGTGCCGGCATTTGTGGCTGTGTTAGCGACGGTGTTGTTGAAATAAACCGAAGAGGATGGATCAGAGCTTGCAAAATCATCTTCCTCTGTAAACCAATAAAGTATGCAAATAAAAAGCGAATAAAATGTGTGCTCGGCAGGTTTTAATCACTCGTTTTAAGACCGCTTGGAGTCTGGGTGCTGATAATTACCCGAGCCGAAGGCGAGGGTAATTATCAGCACCCAGACTCTAAGCGGTCTTGATTAATACCAACCAAACACATATTTATTCCCATTCATAAATACCTTTTCGGTCAAAAAAATCTAAAGTTTTCGGTAAAAATGAACCCCGATCTTGTTCAACAAGTTCACTTCATGTTTTTAGAAACACCCCTCTAGCTCAATAATGGAGTGTCCAGCTGACGAGTAAGATGTAAACAACTCCTTTGACATCACAGCAACAGCGCCGAAAAGCATGGACCATTTTAAATGTTTAAAGAAGTGCACTTTTCGGTAAAATTCACCAAAAAGGGATGCCAATAAGTTTTCAAACACTTCAGAAGATTAGAAAGGATCCGAAAATGTGTTCCTAAGAAAAAAAAACACTTCTGGGCCCTTGAAGTACAAATAATCGCAAAAAAAAAAAGTATCCCTCATCAGAATTGGTCAGTGTTTGATTGATTTTCAAATTACACTCAACCTAGCTTACCTTGTAACATATCCGGCAGGTATTTGGTGATCGTCTCCAGAAATCGCTGGCCGAAACGAGTGGCTTTAGGAACGGTCACTCCGGTCAGCTCCACCAGTTCCTCTTTGGCCATCGGCAGCTGGTCAGCCATCTCTCTCAACGTCTCATCTGACAAAAATAAAAAATCACAAGTAAATAATTGACTCGGCGTTAGCCCGCCTGCTTTTGGGTTATGTACATTTTTCACTGTGATTTCTGACCCTTTATATTATCATTTGTCATAATATTTCTGGTACTGAAACAAAGGATTCCTCCAAAGCGCCCTAGGCACTGTAGCTCGCAAGCCTGAAGAAACCTGTGGAGAGAAGACAATGAGAAGAAATTACAGTTTTTAGAAGTGGGAGGAAAAGCCCAGGAGAACATTCTGAGGAAAACCCACGGAATCAGGCAGGGACTGCAAACCCAATCCACATGTTGGCCCAGGCGGGATTCGAACCCGGGTCACAGCGGTGGAAGGCGAGGAAAGTACCGCAACGCCAACCTGACTCCCCCGAGTTTGCCCACGGTCACCTGATCAGATGCAGTGATCTGATTGGTCAAAGCGTATTGTTTGATTAATTGATTGATTGATTGATTGACAAGTATGCATGGTTCACTATGACTAGTAGACCCCTGGAAAATTAAAACCGAAATTTAATTTTGTTTTACCGTTGAAGACGTTATCAGGGTTCATGTTGCTTTCCACAGCTATCTGCCTGCGGATGACTCGTAACTCATCCAGGAGTTTCTGTCTCGGTGCGTTGAGGGCCTCGTTTGGAACTTGAGTGGACATCTGCAAGGCTTTGGCGGCTTTGGCGTTGGTCAATTTTAGTTCCATCTGAAGAAAAAAAAATGGACATTTTTTATGTCTGAAGCGATAAAGTTGCTCAAAATGTCAAGTGCACGATAACTTGTTGAGGTTTCAGCTCAGGGATACTAGTATTTTGAGAAAAAGGCAAGATGTCTGCAGGGTTCGTGAAATCAGCTGCCCGACATCCAGGGACAACAAGAATATTTGGTCGGACAACCAAAAGTTCAAGGTTGCCAGCCCGACGTGCAACTACTTTTTTCACCAATACTCACACATGTTTAGTCCATGGAATTTTCTAAAGTTCCAGAATCCCATACATCGACCAATAATCATGATAATATCAACATTTTGTACTCAAAATTGGTTGGTGAAATACTGAGGAACTTTTCTTTGCCCCATGAAAGTTTTGGAGAAATTTGCTGGCTAAAGAGTGAGTGAAGTCGGCCTGATCTTCTTTTGCATCGTTTGGAGCACTTAAGGTCTGTCCTGCTTTATGTAGGCAGGGACAACTCGGTCGTTAAAAACAGTCGCTTGACTGATTTTGACTGACACGACAACTTGGCGCAGAATGCATGTTTGCATGAGAACATTTCTGCATTTCATCAAGGTTTTAAAAAAGTATCTACGAGAAGGCTTTGAAGGCGCACCTTTGAACGTCCAGACAGCAAATCGAAGGCCTTCGGTCCGACTTTGACGTAACACAGCGCCTGATCGTGAGCTCCGATCACCAACTCTTCCCGCAGTAGTCCATCTAGGACCATCTTACGAAGAAGTCTCTCGCAGTCGTGACGCTGATAATCCCGACCCTTCATCAGGTTGTAGATCGGGCTGCTGGCGTGTCCGTTCTGAGTGACCTTGGCCGAGTTACTTCCTGTTGGGGTAAGGAAATCAAACAAAAGTGCCGTAACTGCTTCCAATTTCACTGGGGTAGTCCTTTCGACACTGGGCGGTCAACTCGATGCACCGCATCGGCTCAGTGAGTAAACTATAAAGTAACCTCTGTCACAAGCCAATGTGGCCGCGCCCATTTCCGGTTTCATAATCATGAAATGACTGAGGATATTTCTATTGCCCCTGGATGAGATGCTTGTCCATCGCAGGTTACTCCCCAGCTAATGGCGGTACCCATTTATATTCCTGGGTGGAGAGAGGCAAGTGGGGTGAAATGGCTTGCCCAAGGACACAACATATGGCCAGGAGACTGAGAATATTTCTATTCCCCCTGGATGGGATGCTAGTCCATCGCAGGTTACTCCCCAGCTAATGGCGGTACCCATTTATATTCCTGGGTGGAGAGGGGCAAGTGGGGTAAAGTGGCTTGCAAAAGGACACAAAATATGGCCAGGAGACTGAATATTTCTATTCCCCCTGGATGGGATGCTAGTCCATCGCAGGTTACTCCCCAGCTAATGCTGGTACCCATTTATATTCCTGTGTGGAGAGGGGCAAGTGGGGTAAAGTGGCTTGCCCAAGGACACAACATGACCAGCAGCTAGATTTGAAGGCGATTTTAACATAAACTCTTTTTTTGCTGTCCCCACATTGAGGGCAAGGTGGGGCGGGGGAGGGGGAGTTGGATTTTTTTTTTTTTGGGGGGGAGGTGATTTGGGGGGAGGGGGCAAGGGGTAGGTGATGGGGCGGGAAGGGGGGTATCGTGGTGCTGTTAAGCAGAAATGAGGGAATTCGTGCAGTAAGCACAAATAAACTTGGGACCAGTCAAACACAATAAACACTGCATGACACTATGGTTGGAACCCGTTTTGTGCTTATTTATTTTTTCCCTGTTTAGCAACTTTCTACGATAAGCAGGAATTGTTTACCCATGAGTACATCAGCGTAGTGATTGAGGGTGAACTGGGGGGCGTATCGTCTCTTGTATCCCCTGCCTGATGATGACGGAGCTCCATCGATCTGCTTAGCAAACTCCACAATCTTCTTAGCGATGCTGGTCATGTCAACAGTGGAGTAGGCACTCTGAATGAAGGGAAAGAAATGTGTTTATTGCAACTGGTTGTGAAATTGGATTAATTAACCACAGGTATCATGGTGCCGTAGAGTGCAGTACTATTCAATAAGTCCATCACAAGTCCATCACAAGTCCATCACAAGTCCATCACAAGTCCATCACAAGTCCATCACAAGTCCATCACAAGTCCATCACAAGTCCATCACAAGTCCATCACAAGTCCATCACAAGTCCATCACAAGTCCATCACAAGTCCATCACAAGTCCATCACAAGTCCATCACAAGTCCATCACAAGTCCATCACAAGTCCATCACAAGTCCATCACAAGTCCATCACATGTTCATCACACGTCCATCACAAGTCTATCACAAGTCAACCACAAGTCAATCACAAGTCAATCACAAGTCAATCACACGTCAATTGCAAGTCCATCACAAGTCAATAATAATCATTCACAAGTTAGCACACATCCACCACGAATCAATCTCAAGTCAATCACAAGTCCATCATAAGTCCATCATAAGTCCATCACAAGTCCATCACAAGTCCATCACAAGTCCATCACAAGTCCATCACAAGTCCATCTCAAGTCCATCTCAAGTCCATCACAAGTCCATCACAAGTCCATCTCAAGTCCATCACAAGTCAATCACAAGTCCATAACAAGTCCATCACAAGTCCATCTCAAGTCCATCACAAGTCAATCTCAAGTCCATCACAAGTCAATCACAAGTCCATCACAAGTCATTCACACGTCAATTGCAAGTCCATCACAAGTCAATCACAAGTCAATCACAAGTCCATCACAAGTCCATCACAAGTCAACCACAAGTCAATCACAAGTCCATCACAAGTCCATCACAAGTCAATCACAAGTCCATCACAAGTCCATCACAAGTCCATCACAAGTCCATCACAAGTCGATCACAAGTCAATCACACGTCAATTGCAAGTCCATCACAAGTCAATAATAATCAATCACAAGTCAGCACACATCCATCACAAACCAATCTCAAGTCCATCACAAGTCCACCACAAATCAATCTCAAGTCCATCACAAGTTCATCACAAGTTCATCACAAGTCATCACAAGTCAATTATAAGTCAATCACAAGTCATCACAAGTCCATCACAAGTCAACCACAAATCAACCACAACGCATCACGAGTCATCGCAGGTCAATCATAAGTCAATCACAAGTCCATTCTAGTCAATCACAAATCCATCACAAGTCAATCACAAGTCATCACAAGTCAATCACAAGTCATCACAAGTCCATCACAATTCAACCACAACGCATCACGAGTCATCGCAGGTCAATCATAAGTCAATCACAAGTCCATCACCAGTCAATCACAAGTCATCACAAGTCAATCACAAGTCATCACAAGTCCATCACAAGTCATCACAAGTCCATCACAATTCAACCACAACGCATCACAAGTCATAACAAGTCAATCACAAGTCATCACAAGTCCATCACAAGTCAATCACAAGTCAATCACAAGTCATCACAAGTCATCACAAGTCAACCACAACGCATCACGAGTCATCGCAGGTCAATCATAAGTCAATCACAAGTCCATCACAATTCAATCACAAATCAATCACAAATCCATCACAAGTCTATTACATGTCATCACAAGTCCATCACAAGTCCATCACAAGTCATCACAAGTCCATCACAAGTCCATCACAAGTCCATCAAATGTCATCACAAGTCATCACAAGTCCATCACAAGTCCATCACAAGTCCATCACAAGTCCATCACAAGTTCATCACAAGTCCATCACAAGTCAATCACAAGTCCATCACAAGTCCATCACAAGTCCATCACAAGTCAACCACAAGTCCATCACAAGTCCATCACAAGTCATCACAAGTCCATCACAAGTCAATCACAAGTCAACCTCAAGTCATCACAAATCAATCACAAGTCACGAAAAGTCAATCACAATTCCAAAACAAGTCATCACACGGCATCACAAGTCATCACAAGCTAGTCTTATGATCATTCTGATTTGACCTATGATCACTTGTGACTTGGGAGTGACTACCGATTGACTAGATACTACTCACCCCAGACAGACAGTTATCGCAGGCAGTCTGTCGATTCTGCAGACACTTTTCCTTGGTGTAAGTTGTTTCTCCGAAGTAATTCAACAGCTGCACGCGTCGACAATCCACGCTGTTCTCGCAGAACTGCACCATGCGATACAGGTTGTCCAGATGGACTTTCGTCACTTCATAATTATTGTCTCTATCACCTGTTGCGACAAAAGAAGGGAAGTTGACCTCCAAACACAAGTACCCCCTCAACGGTAAGAAAGGGAGAGTTGGGGGAGACCACTGGGAGAGACATTTGTAGGCAGTGCCAGCCACGCGTTAGCTCACGCAAAGACGTGAAAAAAACAGAATTAGCCGTGCATACTTCGCGCCATATGCGCGTGAACCAGTGTGCGCACGCGCTGTGTCACGCCACTTTCAAAAATGGTCAATAGCGCCCTCTTTTGTTCGCGTAAGGAGTGTATGCGTCAGCATTGTCCATGAGTCCATCACAAGTCATCTAGTCCTAAATAAAGTCAGCAAGTTCTTCAAATGAACTTGACAACGGGATTCCTTTGTTATTGTTCGTCCAATGTTACACGATCCAAACTGTGATTGGACTTATGATTTTTTGACAATGGACTGATTGTTTGTTTTTGAATTGTTTTTTTAAAGGGAACAAATGTGTGCTTGGCCAATTTTAAACACTCTGTTTATGACTGGTTGGAGTCTGGATGCTGATAAATCTTCGGCGTGGGTAATTATCAGCATCCAAACTCCAACCAGTCTAATAAAACCAAAGTTTAAAAAAAAAGAAGTAAAATATTAATAAATTTTCAACAATTCTGTTCAACAAATCACCCCTCTAGCTATGGAATGGAAAGGCCCTCTGGTAAACAACTCCTTATATGGAGATTGGCGCACATGTTGTGCGTACTGCGTGATGCCGCGCAGAATGCAAATTTACCAAAATTTAGTGTGAATTTAGGACTATGAAATACTGACTCACTGGTAGTATTGTGCATGCCTACGTGATGATTGTGAACGTTCAACCAATAAAACGGTGCTGGCACCAGATTTCATAGGGGTCCGAATTTCATGTGACACTAGAAAATTGTTTAAGACCGACCAGCCGGTCTTTTTCAACTGTTAGAAACTGGCCACGTGACGGGCTCTTGACCAATAGGTAATTCATAAATGTGGATTCAAAACAGCAGGCTTTTGAATTTTTTAACTTTGAAAAAAATGTTGTCCCCCCCCCCTCAAAAAAAAAGTAAAAAAAACAACAACAATTTGATTAGGTCAGGACAAAAAGTTGCCTAATTAAAGGGGAAAAACCCAATATTCCTCTTCGAAATGAACTAGCAGGCCATAAACAACACAAAGGGTCCCATTTATAAAAGTAAATTAGCAAAACAGATTATTAGGCCTTGACATTCTTAGGATTAGGCCCCCAAAAAGTCTCTGGTTTCTGGTATGGAGCTTGCCCCAAAAGTGGTGAGCAGCATCCCCCCCCCCCCTATTTTTTTCCTTCCAATGTCGGCTGATGTTGCAGATGACGCTTCGATCCCCTTAAAACTCTCAAAAATAGCCTTCGGGGTGGAGCTTGAGGTGACCTCAGTAAGGCCATAAGGCTTGAGAATTTTGCACCCACTTACGATCTCGACCGACACAAACATTCTTTGGGAAATTTAGATAGTCAAGACAAAAATCAGAGAAAACAGTAATGCCAGACCATACAGCGACATCGACATCGACATCGTGCACGTGCTGCCCGGCTGCTCATTAGTCTGCTCCCTTACATATTGCGCTAATTAAAAAGCGTTTACAGGTTCCAGATACAATACCACCGCTCCCTCAGTCTGGCTTCCAGATGCACAATTACAAAATTACAACACCGTCTGCAAATGGCGCCCGACTAAATTTATAGTGCAAAATATCGGAGCCCAGAGAGGCCACATAAAGCTTACACTTGATCGTTACCCCATCTATACCAGGGATGTGAGTAACCACTGATAAAATATAGCTGAAAACAGCTGAAAGCGGTGTAAAAAAAGCTGAACTTTGGAAATCTCCTATACTTTTGTACACAGCAAGTGAGGGAAAAAAGCTGAAATCCAAAACAAAAAAAGCTGAAATCAGCTTTTAAGCTGAGATTTCCCACCCTGCTATACGTCAAAAATTGTCCAACAGCAGGACTCCAGTTAAACCACTGAGTTTGGCGCTTTTTTATACATCATCATCTTACATGGCTACAGCGATGCGCGCGCAGACCAGAAACCGGAGATAAAATGTCAAGCGAAATGTTGAAGTTTGCTGTAGCATCAAGCGAAAGAAATCCAAAAAAAACCCAAGAAATTTGTGAGTTGGAGAAGAACTGTTTGCTATGTTTTTGTGGGAATCCAAGACCGTAGAATTCAACAACGTACCTTCCACCATCCGGCGTAATCTGGTTACGTCTTGATAGGAGTAATACAAGATACACTTGGCGAGCTCTCCATCTCGACCTGCCCTCCCGGCTTCCTGGTAGTAGCCTTCCATCGACTTGGGTAGAGAGTAATGCATGACGAAACGTACATCCGGTTTATCTATCCCCATACCGAAGGCTATGGTAGCACACACAACCTGCAACGAAAAACGATTGCAGTCACGGTATCAGCTTTAAAAGGGAACTGACCTATCGCCGTTTGTGAGTTAGCCACGCCCCTTGCACAAACCTGTGGTGTTTCTGAACACTCAGTTTCGTTTGTCTCAGATTTTGTGCGTTCCGCGTCCATTTGTATATCTTGTAATTGGACAATATTTCACAAGCTGCGTTGACGCGATTCTACCCAGGCATGCAACTTTTCCTCGGATCAGCTGATTTCCTCTTTTTTCACTTCCCATGTGTGCCATTGAAAATAGAAAAACACTGTACAAAGTCTTGGAAAGATTTGAATTTGCTCTTTTTTGTGACTTCCCAGTTGCATGCCTGCCTTACCGCGATAGGTAAATAGGCCCATACAATGTTTGCTTTCCCTGTTATTTTCAGAAATGGATGGATTTCGGGGGGTTCGTATTTTTGTAGCAAATATTGTTACACTGACTTCTTTGACATTTTGTGTTCGTAGATTCTGGAAAAACCAAGCAAAACAATCATGTTCTTGTAGTCTGGTTGCCTGACCCCACTTAAGATGAAACTGAGCAATTTATGTACGTCAGGGAATTATGATAAGGTCAGGGAATTATAACAAGGTTGGGAACCAGTCTACCTGTCTTGTACCCATTCATAGGCGTGTAATCGATTGCAAAAAAAATGCAGACTCACTAAATATGGTAAACTGGGAGCAGTATTTGAAAAATGCCAGTTTTTTCCCAATGCTGGTCGGTCGACCAGCATTAAAATTGATACAAAAAATTAAAGCATTTTTCTTGATTTCATGATTTCACAGGATGCTTTAGACTGTCATTTACTAACAGTCCAGTAAGGTATTTCACAATAATTTGGTACTTTTGTTTTTTTGATGTTTGCAAATGTTGTATATTCCCTATAAATCACTTACAAATTTCTTAACACAAGTTTGGGAGACGACTTTGAAACTAGTTAGGTTGTCTTATAGCATCTCATTGATTTTGATCACTTTCAATAGTTAAACCACTCAAAATCCAAAGAAGACTGTTCAATACCTGTTTGAAATTTCAGCTCAGTGGATATAACATTTTTCAGGAAAAAGTGACAAACACACAAGCTTTTGGTCACAAATCATTATTTTGTTAACCACTTCGAGCCGGAGGCCGTGATAACGCGCACTGGCTGTTTTTATACACAGGCACGGCTGACGGGTTAAGACGTCAAGATTGCCTCGACTCGCCTCCGGGTGACGTCTAAACACGCTAATCCCTCGTGCCTTTTGTACACACATACATAGTCTGTGGAGGCGGACCGTGTGTTGATATTGAACTTGAATATGAGGTTGCGGTAAGCAATATCGTGCAAATACTGCTCAAAATGACTCTTGCGAATCAGTATTTGTGGCGTTTGGCTATATATCAAAAGTTGCCTGCTATATTTTGCCTATTTCATAAATCAAAATTTGGCGGCAAAAATAATCTTGTTGCCCAATGGTTAAAGACCATTTACTTTTAATCTTTCTTTTCTTCATTTACAATAATAACACCACTCAAAATCCAAAGAAGAATGCTTAAAACCTAACCTGTTGGAGTTTCGATCAGTTCAGTGGATATTAAACCTTTTTCCACCCCCCCCCAATTTTTTTTTTTTTAAATGCACGACCTTTTGATCACAAAACAAGATTTTGTTAACAGCTCATTTTATTCTTAATTTCACTGGTTCCCTGCCAGCACTGGTTCCATGCCTCCTACAAACCTTGAAGTTTCGATCAGTTCAGTGGATATTAAACCTTTTTTCCAACCCCCCAAAAGTTGTAAAAAAAGCAAGACCTTTTGATCACAAAACACTATTTTGTTAACAGCGCATTTTATTCTTAATTTCACTGGTTCCCTGCCAGGACTGGTTCCACGCCTCCTACAAACCTTGTATTCATCGCTGATCCATTTCTCCTGTACCCTCGCTCGGTCCGAGTCACTCTGGCCGGCGTGGTAGGGACACGCCTTGATTCCGTTCCGGCATAAATCTTCGGCCGTCTTCTCGCATTCTTTCCTAGGAAAATAAAAACGAAATATGGTGAACAAAATACCGAAGACAAAACAATGGATACAACACTGGATTTATTCAGGATACTAGTGGCCCCTGAACATGGTTTGCAGTTTTGCAGTAGCTGTGGGAACACTGAAATCCTAACTCAACAAGATTAGAACTGCTTCTATAATTTCCATATTGCAAACAGCAGTTGTAACTTGACACACAAGTAATGATACCAGATTGACCATGACTGGCCCCTAAACATGGTTTTATGTCAATTATTATTCACAACAAAAACTTTCTTTTTTTCCCCTACAAATGTCACACATGAAACAGCGGTATACTTTCAGATAATATGGTAATGATACCAGATTGACCATGACTGGCCCCTGAACATGGTTTGTGCCAATAAGCCAGTTCCGCATTCCAAAATAGTCTGGTGCACAGCAAGATTCCACTTTTTTTTTTCGGGATAAACGCGGCAGATGAATGCACACAAGGCTATGGGGGACGTGGTAACCAAATCTGCATTCTATGTAAATTTTCGTGCAATCAAAAACAGATGGAAATTTTCGTTTGTAGAAAAGTTTGAACACACAAGACACCTAAAAACACTTCGCTGTCCAAACTTTTTTTGCAAAATGTTACTTCAAAACACGATGATCTCTTCAATTTTGCTGGTACATATACCTCGATATGCTTTTGCACGCATACGATGAACTTTTTTCCCGAAAGAAAAATTGGCAAGTCCTGATGTGCACATGCGCAGATTGACCATGGCTGGCCCCTGAACATGGTTTGTGTCAATTATTAATTTTTTTTTATGTTCTAAAAATGCCACACATGAAACAGCGGTGGTACCTTGAGAAGCAGTAGATGATGCCTGACTGGCCCCTGAACATGGTTCGTGTCAATTATTACTCACAACAAACTTAATTTGTTCTAAAAATGCCACACATGAAACAGCAGTGGTACCTTGAGAGGCAGTAGATGATGCCTGACTGGCCCCTGAACATGGTTCGTGTCAATTATTACTCACAACAAACTTAATTTGTTCTAAAAATGCCACACATGAAACAGCGGTGGTACCTTGAGAGGCAGTAGATGATGCCCGACTGGCCCCTGAACGTGGATTGTAGTAGCTGCGTGATGTGCTGAATCAGTTTACGAGGCTCTTTCTTTTTGACAGAAAACTGGAGATTGCTCCGATCAAAACTACGAGTGAATCTGAACAAATAAAAGAGACAATAAAATACATTAAATACATCCTTGGAAATGCCCCTTTGTATCCCATTTAACCTTATTTGCAATTTTCGTTTTGCCATTTCCAAGGGTATTTCAGGCATGCAACTGCAAATTTAGAAAAAAAACGAGTAAATTCCAAACCACACAAGACTTTGTACAGTGTTTTTCAATTTGTAATGGCATTCATGAGAAGTAAAAAACGAGGAAATCAGCGGATCCGAGGAAAAGTTGCATGCCTGGTATTTTGGTGCCTGTTTGATTTTTATGCAAATGCAAATTTCCATATTCATGAGCAAAAGTGGATGTCATTCCAGGCAGAAACCCCAATGTTACATCTATTTCAGCATCAAATGTCAGAATTTTTGGATATTTTGCTGTCGTAAAGTGTCTTTGCTTTTGCTTTGGTGATTCGTTGTTGTGTCACTAATAATAATAATAATGATAATACCGGAGTCTTATATAGCGCACATACATGTATCTACCAACAATGAGGTACTCAAGGCGCTGGAAATTGTGTCCATTATTAATGACAGGTAAATGAAGTTTATGAGAAATATGAGACCCATTATGTAGCACCTTTATAAGGGGTTTACAAGCTTATGTGCTGCGGTGCATATTGCAGCCACTGCCAGAAACACCGGGGCAAACCCCTTCTCTTAGCGATAAGTGTTGCTGGGTTCTTTAACGTGCATTACACAACACACGGGACCTACGGCTGTACGTCCCATCCGAAGGACGAAGCAATAATGGTAAAGTGCCTTGCTCAAGAGCACAAGCACCATGTTCCCACGGTCAGGATTTGAACCCATGCACCACGGCACACGAGTCGAACACCGTAACCATTGGACCACAGCACCCTAGTAAACAATGAGCAAACTTCACACAAATGTTTTTCAATGAGCAAATTTTTGGGTTCACATTGTCAATGGATACCCTTAAACTGAGTGTCTACCTGAATTGGCATCACAGTTGGCCGCAGTTGTCCGGAAAAGCACGAACATTTTAAAAAGTGCATTTTTCAACCAAAACGGGATGTCAAATAGATTTCATACATTTAAGAGGAGTAGAAAGTTGCACAAAATGTGTTAGTGTTTATAGCCCAGTCCATCACAAGTCCTCAAAACGCTATCAAAAGGTCCCGTCACACTGTCGCATTCTGGCAATTGAACTGAAAATTGACTGAAATGCGGAGGGAATGCAGATGACGGCGTGGGGACTCATTGAAACTAGTTGAAGACTTCAGAGGAACTCCAAGGGCTTCGCTGAACGCCAAACTGCGGCGTTCGTTTTGGACATGCACAAAAACAAACGCCGCGCCTCGGCGTTTTGACCAGAACGTGGTAAGGACCCTGCACAAACTCCTCGCAAACGACCGTGACATAATGGCAACGCGCAGGCAGATGGGAGCGACGTCGTGAGAACTCCACGGATGTGCATGCATCAGGATCGACTGCACGTCTCCTCGAAGTCTCCTGCATCTACGGCGTTCAAAATGTGAAGACTCAATGACAATCGCCAATTTTGGCCCGAGTATCAATACACGCCGTGCTTCTGGCTGCTGACGTCACACATACATTTGAAGGTTGCATCAAGCGCGCGATAAGGACTCCAAGAACTTCGTACAAACTTATTGGACGCCATGAGGACGTAGGGAGGATGCAGAGGACGCCACGAAGACTTCAATTTAGTCTTCAATGGAACTCATAGAGAACACCGCAAGGACGCTGAATCCTACATCTTAGTGGCATTTTGTGGCATTTTAAACAATTTCAACAACGCAAAATGAACGCCATGCATGGACGTGACAGTGTGACAGGGTCTTTAGTCATGGCTATGGCTTACATCTGTGGCTTTGGCATTGCCAGCTGGTGCAGTATATCCTTCTGTACTCTTGGGGTAGCCGTAGCCGTTAAAGCCATGACGGGGACACCAGGGAACTTCTGGCGCAGCTTGCACAGTTTCTTGTAGTCTGGGCGGAAATCGTGACCCCACTGCAAAATTGAAATGACAAATTCCGAGATTTGAGGAAAATGATCCTGCAACTATTTCATGACTTCAAAATTTCAATGAGCGTCATCAATTAGATGACGTAATTCCACTGACATACAATTGAACTTGGCTTCATGCGTCATAGTTCAGACTTCTCATCACATCTGCGACTAAAACACTGTGGTTTCTTTAGGGACTAAGCTGTCATGTCTGTTTGTCTTGTTTGTTGATGGCTGTCTGTCTGTCTGTCTTGGCTGTTTGTTAGTTGGTCTGTTCATCTGCTTACTTGGCTGACGCAGTGGGCTTCATCGATGACAAATCGAGCAAGCATCTTCCTGTGATACAGATGCTCCATGGCCGAGATGAGCTTGGTACTTGCGCTGATCTAAAATCAAAATCAAAATCAAATCAATCAAATCAATCAAATCAATCAAATCAATCAAATCAATCAAATCAATCAAATCAATCAAAATCAAAATCAAAATCAAAATCAAAATCAAAATCAAAATCAAAATCAAAATCAAAATCAAAATCAAAATCAAATTCAAATTCAAAATCAAAATCAAAATCAAAATCAAAATCAAAATCAAAATCAAAATCAAAATCAAAATCAAAATAAAAATCAAATCACTCTTGTTGCAATGGTTAGCCTTTGATCCTAATACAATAATGATTAGGTTTCCTGTCATTGGAAAAAAAAGATAATGCAAAAATGTTAACAGTGGATTTTACTGACATTTGTTGACAGTTAAAATTTGCAGGATCAGTGGTTTACCTTCTCCGGAGTGACATAGAGCAGCTTGACTCCTGGGTCTCTAAGAGACAACTGACGGTAGATGGAATCCACAAAATCCGACTTCAATTCACCAGATAAATGCGCAGCAGGAATCTAAAGAAACAAGCAAGAAATCAATGACAACCCTCCAAGTGTTTGATCAGTCACAGACAGTCAAATAGTCCTTCCACTTTCCAGCCATGCATTTGACTTGTGAAAACCCGTCAGATCACATTTGTGTAAACACTGTGACTAGTCAAATTCCATCAACGGACAAAAGATGTATCTGGTAGGTAAAGCTGGTATATCAATCGCAACCAGTCAAAGCACGGCTGTATGAAATAAGCCTCTGTACTGTAATTTTCAAGTTACGGCTTTAAACACAACCACCGTTTTAAAGTTCTGTCCATGGATCACAAAAAGCTAAGTGTTCTTTCAGCAAAACGAAACCAAATCACATAGGGATGTGAGTGAATTGTTTTTGTTTTGCTAAGAGAATTTTTTTTTGTGACCCGTGGACAGAACTTTAAAATGGTGTTAAAATTCTGTAACTTGACAAGTTTTGAATGATTCCTGTACCAAAAGAAAGCTTATGAATTGGGCTTTCATATCCTACATTTTGAAAGTGGTACGTGCAGAACTTCCCAACATTTGGCATTCCTTTTTTTTACTCGCCCTGTATGTGCGTAGTAATGATGTGCAAACCCGACCCGAAACCAAAACCGACCCGACCCGAAACCGACTTCGGTTTGTCCATCTTTTCAGTCGGGTCGGGTCGGTTTTGGTTTTGCATTTTCATTTTCGGGTTGGGTCGGGTCGGTTTAGCCATCTTTTGAAAAAAACGAAATAAACCAAAACATTTCAGAAATGTAGGTGATGCAATATTATTGACAGTCACTGTGACCGCAGCCCATAGTGTGGTGTGGCCACCGAGCGCACTATCAAGTTCCCACGGTATTAATTTCCTCAGTCGGATGGAGCTGACAGTGAAATAGATACATTGTAACAGTTTTCATGATACCGCGTGATGATACCATGTGTTTGTTCAATAAGCGGAGTTACTCTCGATCAACCCACCGAGTGTGACAGAGAGAGAGAGACGATGGTTTTGCAAAAGAATTCATGCCACGTGGGTAAGGGCAGGCACAAAAAAAAGATCACTTTGTCCAAGCCAGGTATTCGGGGGGTTTTTTTCGGGATTTTTTCGGGTCAGGTCGGTTCGGGTCAGTTTTACCTTATTTTTTGTCGGGTCGGGTCGGGTCGGTTTGAGGGAGTTAAGATCGATTTCGGTTCGGATTCGGTTTATATCTCTAATGTTTCGGGTCGGTTTGGCCTGGTCGACCCGACCCGATGCACATCATTAGTGCGTAGTTGTCTGGTGTGCGAACATTCAAACTGTCAAAAAGCGATTTGAATTTTAGGACAGGCCTAAAGTTTGGTTGAAAGTTTACCTCCAAGGAGACGAGTCGCTGGACCTGGTCTTGTATGAGTGACTTGAGTGGGGAGACGACGAACGTTACACCGTCCGTTAAAACGCCCGGCAACTGATAAGTCAAACTCTTGCCTCCACCTGACATCAAAACAATAACAACAAAACAATAAACAAATACGCCGGTGAAGGGCAAAACCTAATTTGATTTACATCACCCAACGCAAAATTCCATCTTACGAATAGTTAATGCGGTACCCGCTGCTATGTACATCAGATTCGAACCGGCCACCCGATCCCGTTAGCTCGGTGGTCGAGTGGTAAGACATCTGCACTAGAAAGCAGGAGGTCGTGGGTTCGAGTCCCACCCGAGTGATTTTTTTCCAACTTTTACTCGGGAGGTAACACTGTGAGTATACAGTGTTTACATGTATATGTCAAACCTCATTTGAAATGATGAATTTACTGTACAAAACTGATTTTATTTTTATGTTGATTGGTAAGATGGAGAATTGAAAAGGGGCATGGCATGTGCAGGAAAAAAGGGGGGGCTTGGAAGATGCTGACCTGTTGGCATGAGAACGAAGCAATCTTCACCGAGCAGCGCGGCGTTGATAGCTTCGAGTTGCTCAGGACGGAACTGATGCAAACCAAACGTCTGACGGAACACCTTGAGCAGTTCCTTGGAGTGGGGGAAATTGGTTCCACTGAAACGACTGTGCCGAATGGAGACTGAACAAAGAGAAATACATTCCAATCATGAGGATTATCCTCATGTGATCAATTTGGGAACAGGAAATTGGGGAGGAGTCAACTTATCTGCATTTTACAGATTTTAAGAAAGAGTGGATCGTTTGTGCGTATGTTTCGTTTGAAGCAACAAAAGTGCTCAGAATCTAAAGACGGTGCTTAACAACTAACCTGATAAAGTTTTAGCTCTGTGAATGCTGTATTCCGTGAAAACAATTATCTAAGATGTCAATTTCAATTTAAAAATCACCGAGTCCACAGAGTCAGATTTTGAATTGTGCCCGAAATCAGCATGCGGGACACGTTCTCATTCAGCTTATTGCTCTACGTGATATCACGCACTGAACCGACGAATAACAGTAACCACGCGCACATGTGCGTCGTGACAATGTTGCGCACACCCATTCACGGATTCGCCCAATTACAAACCAACTACATGTACTAACGGACATTTCCAAAAATGCGTCACTTGACACATCTTTGGAAATGACCTTCTTTGATTGTTTCTTCAAAATGACAGCGTGCCAGAAGGAATAATTTCACAGGGAGTTCAGTGCCATTACTATCTTTGAACAATAGTTTGGCCAGTGAGTTTATAGATAGCTGCAAGACTCTACCATTAACCCTCCTGCTATTTAAACAGTCACAGACAGTCAAAATTTCCATCCACTTCCCCTGCCATACTTTTAACACCGGCTAGTCACCAACAGTCAGATCATGTCAAGCAAGCGCTGTGGCCAGTCAAACTCAGTCAACAGACCATGAACAGACAAAGCTGGCAAGTTGTGGGCACAGCTGGCTTATCAATCACCCACAGCTAAATCCTAGCTGTGCCAAGCTACATAAACAATCACAGCCAGTCAATCCTGCTTTATGTACTGGCAGGCTGGGAGCTCTTAACTGTTGAAAACAATCACTTGATTGGTTTTGACTGAAAGGACAACTCCGCACAGAATGAATAGCATAGGAGGGTTGATGGAATATATCTGACAAGAACCAACCTTCAGTTGACAAGAGATCAGACGCCCTTTGTACAGTACTTGGTTTGAATTTGTGGTGCTGTTTGACCAGTTGTGGTTGGGGTCTCTTCTCTGAAGAAAGTTCGAGAGGTTTCTTCTTGTTCCCAGTAGTGAAGTTTGGTGCTGTGGTGTTAAAAACTGATGCGGTTGGCATGGCAGGAGAGTCGTCATAGAAACCGTCTCCGCCAAAACCGGCATCGGGGGAGGCAAATCCGGGGCTTATCTTACTGATGGTGCTGGGAAGCGTCCTCTGGAGTGGGGTGGTTATCACGTCTTGTTTAAGGGGGTTCGTCACCTGGGGTGGGGGTACCGTGCTGAGGGTTCTGTTAGTTGTGTTTAAAGGCGTCACTGAGTTCTTCCCGGACGAGTTGCCAGTTTTCGACTTGAAACTGAAGGCGTTTTGGTTTGGCATCCTGGTGTTGGACGTGTTTGGCGTCTGGAAGGGGAGACTAGCGTTGGAGGGGTCAGGAGGTCGCGACCTCGCATGGATGATGGGGATCGCGGATTCTTGGTTGGTTAACGGGCTTGTTGAAGTCTGGCGATTGGTTCCCGTGCTGAGTTGTCTAAGCTTGGCTTCGGCTTGCTTCTGTTTGGCTTTCATTCGTTTCCTTTCAACAACAACAAATTCTTAAAAACTGATCATCAGGACAAACTTTTTGAAAGTACAGGGCGAGTCAAACAAAGTGAAACCCAAATGTCCGATTATTGTTTTAGTGAAGTTCTGCATGTAGCACTTTCAAAATCTAGGACATGAAAGCCCAATTTATAAGCTTTCTTTTAGTACAAGAATCATTCAAATCACTCATGTACTTTTCATAACACAACCAAGTTTTGAAGTTCTGTCCACGGATTACAAAAAAAAGTGTGCGTTCTTTCATCAAAACGAAAACAATTCACATGCACCCCTATATGATTTGTTATCATTTTGCTGAAAGAACACTTACCTTCTTGTGATCCGTGGACAAAACTTTAAAATTCCGTAACTTAAAAAGTACATGAGTGACTTGAATGATTCTTGTTCTAAAAGAAAGCTTATGAATTGGGCTTTCATATCCTAGATTTTGAAAGTGCCACATGCAGAACTTCACTAAAACAATGGTCCCGACATTTAGGTTTCATTATTTTGACTCACCCTGTATATTTTTTATGAGAATCATCAACTACAAGGCAAAGGGCTTCTGAAGTTGATGACAACGAGCAAGACTTAATTTAAATCTGCTTCTGATATTTTTTCATCTGACTTGGCTACATTTTTTTGGGGCTGTTCTTCTCGGATAGTGCTGGGGGCGAAACGCTAAGACGCGTCTTAGGAAGGGTTACTCGTCTTAACTCACGACTCGTCCTAGGATTGATTTCACCAAACCTAAGACATGTTCAACACTTCCTTAATTCCTTAGCAACACGGCTGAACTTGTCTTAATCTAAGATCAGTCTGAGGGTCGTCTTCTCTCATTAATGCATGTGTTAATTTGTATATCGTCTGGAAATCCTTACCATTAACCCTAACCCACCTCACTCCTCCAAAATCCTCCTGGCGGTTTTGGAGGATTCTAGAGGATTGAGGATGAATGGTGATTGAATCAAATGAGGATTCTGGAGGATTGAGGATGAATGGTGATTGAAGCACAAGAGGATTTTGGAGGATTGAGGATGAATGCATTTTGAGGCAGGACTGTCTGATGATTTTGAAGGATTTGGCGTTGGTTATCCTTCATTTAAACACGAGTGCAAAGTTTTGGGATGAGGAGGATTTTGGAGGATTGAGGATGAATGCATTTTGAGGTAGGACTGTCTGACAATTTTGAAAAATTTAGGCGGAGTTGCAAAATTTTGGAGGATTTTGGAGGATTGAGGATGGTTGTAAGCAACAAGGGCCTAGGGGGTTAGGGTTAATTAACGATGAGTGTAGGCCTACAGTTACAGTTTCAAGAAAAAAAAAACGTTGTAGAAACAGATCTAAAAAGATTTCTGATAGGTGGGTACTTTAAAAAAAAAAATAGCTTGTTTACAACATTTATTATACGATTATACGCCGATACCCAGTTGATATTTCTATATAGAGTGATGAAATGGGGAGCAAGAATGACTCTATCGTATCTTGTGTAGAACTTCCTTGCATGTGAAATTGATTGAGGAGAGTCACTTTTTTCAGGCGAAAGTTGGTTTGAGCGTTTCTTTTCAACAACTGTTTCAATAAGCGGTAAAAACAAACATGAAACAGCCATCGAATTGGTAGTTTTGATGCGTCTTGCTTAAAATGGGTTTAGTGAAATCGGTCTCAGGACGTGTCTTAGCTAAGATCAAGCTCAGAGCGGGGATTCATCTTAAGTCCTAAGATGAGTCGCAAGATAAGATGAGTTTCGTGAAACCGGCCCCTTGTCATTGAGTGTTTATAAAACAACACTGGTGAAGTGAAAATCCACTATTTTGCATCATTCTAATGTTAAAAAAAATGCTTTCCAAATATGTTACGATTTTTTTTGGAAGACTTTTTTGAAAACTTTGTAATGAACAAATAATGAAAAATGAAAAGTACTGAATAGTATACCTGAGTGATAATAGAGGTTTGACGTGATCCAGTCTGCCGCCCTCTGTTGGTGAGACTAAGGCAGTGTCTACGTTGTCGCATATCTGCTCCATGACGCCAAACATAAGTTGCTTTAGGCTGTTGAGCCGTTCCTGTAGACTAGCCACTGAAATCTATCAGGATTAACAGATTTTTTAAAAGGCTAGAAGTATACAGCGCATCTTTAACAAAATATAGCACTAGCAGTCAAATTTTTTTTTTCAGAGGAAACTACATTTTTTTTGTAAAACTATTTTCCATGAGATGATAGAGGGCTGCTTCACCCTTGACAGGGTTGTTGTTCTGTGTGATTTGGACCGTTTGTTTCAAACTTACAGCAAAGCTTGTAAAGACTGTCAAAATCTGTTTGGGCAACTTTCATATTTCTCACAACATCTTTTGGTACTTTAATGCCTTTCATTAGATGCCACAGAATCTGAAAAAGTGACCCAACCCTTCAAAAGCAAGTTAGGGTTACTTAACCCTTTCGTGCCCACATTGTTTATTGACTTGGCTCTCCCCAGGACCAAATTGTTTGCTCAGTCCTGCGGAAATCACTAGAGCGTGAACAAAATGACCACAAGTCCAAAACTCACTTTTTTCAATCCAGATTTTCACTGCCAAGGAGTGATTTAAATCATAGGTGTTGTGTGTAAAGTTTGTTCATTGAACTTTACTCTTTTATCTGATGTAAAAATGAAGTCCACATGTGTAAATATAAGAAAGTTATGCCTGTTTGTTCATCTGGTTCCATTTATCAAACTCCAAGCCATTTTACCACATGACCAAATGGCACTCCATACCTCAATTTGTGAGTGGATACTTCTAAAGCACTTTTCTCATTTTTTTGTTATGGCAACACTATGAATAAACTACACCATTAGAACGATCCGAAAACACTCTTTCAGCTGGTATATGGTTGATGTATGGACGGCCAAACATATCAACATGCCGCCTTTCTGAAAAGTAGTGAATATATCTGTGTTGAGGGTGCTCTGTGTGTGGTTTCCTGGTCGACTAAAGTCGCCCATGGGAACCAGCAGGGGGGTACTTCTTGTCGACAAAAGTCGCCCATGGTAACGAAAGGGTTAAGCTCAAATTCCAAAATGGAAATTAAAAGATAGATAAAATCATCTGTCATTTGTGTATTTGTTTTGTTTGAAGCAACAAAAGTGCTCCATATCTAAAGACGGGTGCTTAACAACTAACCTGATGAAGTTTTAACTCTGTGAATGCTGTATATTCGGAGAAAAACAATATTCTAGGATCTCGATTTCAATTCTAAAGTTGCCAAGTCATGTTTTGAATTGCGCCTGAGATCAGCGTCCGGAACACGTTCTCATTCAACCGATTGCAGCTACGCGATATCACGCACCGAAACCGATGAATAACGGCAACCGGGCAAGGGTGTGCATCGTGTTAAAGCTTGCGTGCAGCCATTTATGGATTCGCCGAATAACAAACCGACCACACATTTCCAAAAATGTGTCACTTGACAGATCTTTAGAAATGGCCTTCTTTCATTGTTTTCTTCAAAATGACAGCATGCCAGAAAGAATAATTTCACAGGGAGTTTATTGCAAACCCCGTCTTTAAACCAAGTAAGGTTTTCAACAATAATTTGGTGAGTTACTTTTTGGATAGCTGCAAAAGATCTACTCTACCTTTAAAGCAAAACGTAAACAAACAAAAACGAGTGTTACCTCTGAAGGTAATGGCTGCATCGTTGGGTGACTGGTATAGAAGTTCTCATCATGAGAAAAGCTGAATCACATAAAATTAAGAGAATTAACAGCAGATTAACGATCTAAATTTGTGTAGTTTTTAGTTATTCAGTCAGTTATTTGGTTTATGCTGATTCCTTTAGGCCAAAAAAAAAAGTCTCCGGTTTCTGGTATGCGCGCGCGTCGCCGTAGCCATGCGCGTCGGCAAAATGAAAAAGTTTTTTTTTCAATAAAAGATGATGTCTCAAAACCGCCAAACACACCGGTTTGACTGGAATGCTGCTGCAGCACAATTTTAACGTGTTTTTAGATTGGGGTATGATCGAGAATAAGCTTTATGTGGCCTCTCTGGACTCCCGTACATTTTGCACTAAGTTTAGTCGGGCACCATTTGCAGTCATCAGCCGACATTTGAAGCAAAAAAGTCAGGTAAAAAAAAAAAAAAAGCCGCGTCGCCGCACCACTTTTTGGGCAAGCTCCATACCAGAAACCGGAGACTTTCTTTGTTGGCCTAATCATGCATGCAACTGGGAAGTCACACAAAACAAAAAAATTCAAATCTTTCCAAGACTTTGTACAGTGTTTTTCTATTTTCAATGACACACAGGGGAGGTCAAAAAAGATGAAATCAGCTGATCCGAGGTAGGCTTGTACGGTATTGCCTTGTACTATACCGTGGTATACCGTGACAAAAAAACCGCGATATTCACTAAAACCGCGGTATTATGTTAAGTGGGGTATTAGTTACGTCATTATCAGAAGAAAAAATAACTAACCACCAGGCACCACGCGCCGAGTTGATAAGCCGCCGGCGCAGCATAAATCACGCAAATGCTTCACGCCGCAAATCTCCTACACTAAAAGTGTCTTGGTTTCATTATCAGTCCATTTGTTTGTAAAAACAAAATATCATTGTAACAGATTATTAAACACGGGAAGCTTACTTTTTGTGGTATTGCATTTTCGAATTTGTAGGTCATTGACTTGACAAGGTCCACTAAAAAATAATGCAGATCGTCGACCGATGCCAGAGGCCGACCACGCGACGATCCCCAGATCCTAGCGAACGTATGCTTTTCAGTTGGTATCCATTGTGAGTGACTCAAAAGGCTCATGCAATTTATGCCGGCCACCAGCGACTCCTTACGTGCTTCGCCGGTGTCATGTGAAAATCGGACTCCTATAAAAAATATCGTACTCCTTCTCACGTGATCGGTCCGTGATTGATAATAGTAAACATCACAACGTTACGCATGCGCAATTGTGGACGCTGAAATATGAAGTTGTCGGTGCCGCGACCTTCATAACGAACGGACCAATCATTCCAAAACATGAATGGAAAATGTTTCGAGCGCCGTTTTAGATGGCCAATCAGCTTGATCTACACAGTGCGTGGGAAAAAGCACGTGCAATTGTGCTTGAGGGGGCGCGGCCCAGCATGACGGGCGTAGCTTTAGGTGTGATCGTGCGGGCATTACGGGGGGTTTTCCCACGGTGAGAAATCATGGCTCTTGTATTACGCTTTCTTTTGGAGTATTTTCTTTTCTGGATTTTTATCTGGACGACTCGGCATATTCAGGCGAGTCCCTTGCCTTTGAACGTCGGTACCGATGAATAACTAACGGACCAATCGAACCAAAACATGAATGAAAAAATTGTTCCGAGCGTGGATTTAGATGGCCAATCAGATTCTTTTAAAAGGGTGTTTGACCATTTTTCATCTCACCATCGTCGCGTCTCGGTAAAACCTTCCAAAAAAAAGGCGAGTGCGGACACGGCTTTAGATCGATAAATGCAGTGGGTGGGGAAAAGCACGTGTTCCGACTCTCTCTGTGCGGAACCAGTGTGGGACCACGTGTATGCGTATCATGCACTGGCATGTACGGCCACGCACATGACGCAGGAGTATTCGGGGAATTTCGTAAACACTAAAGTGTACGCTTCCAGATCGTACAAGAGTTTTTACCCACGATGAGAAATCATTCGTTGGAATATTTTCTTTTCTTAATTTTCCCGGACGGTTCACACTCGCTGCATCGTATATTCAGGCGAGTCCAGATTTTTTTTCCTTTTGCGCGTCGGTGCCGACACTGCTTGATTGTACATTTATTCCCCAGGCCCATGAGACATCATGATGGCTTTGATATTGCGATTTCCTTGAAATATTTTTTCTCATTTTCCCCGGATCGGACGGCTCAGCATTGCATGTGAATCCAGGCGTCCCTTCCCTTTGCACGTGCATCTCGCACGCATATAGCACTAGACTGAAGCCTGCAAGTTTTGGCGGTCATATAACCAAGATTGACACGGTTTTTTTTCTTGTTGCTGATATTCTTTGCAAAAATTACGCATGATGATGTAAGATTTCTCTGAAACAACCACGGAGAAACAATTAAGACGACCAGTTTTTGTCACGACCGTCAAAACATTCCCATGTGTAAAACATTGTTTGAACTTTCAGTGAAGACACTTTACACACAAAGAAAACCGCAAACACGGCGGCGTTAGCAGAACTTCAAAGGCCTTTGTGGTATTGCAGCTGCCGAAGTATCAGGTTTTCTAGTAGAGCTTGACAATTGTGTTCAATCTGTCAACGGTAATTGACAATGCAGACATGAAACTGGATGCCTGAAACCACAAAGAATGGAATCAAACATGTCAAGGAGGTTGCTTGTCTTTCTGTTTGAAAGGCTTTTGCGAAGATTCTGAACACTAAGGAAGAACACCGCGGTATTGAAATTCCATACCGAGTTCACCGGTGTTTCGGTATTCATGAATCATTAGTCGGTGTTAGTCGGTTATTAAAAAAAACCTTGACTATCCGGTTATACCGAAATACCGTCCAAGCCTAATCCGAGGAAAAGTTGCATGCCTGCTTTATTCTTATTGGAGAAACCAAATGAAAAATCAAATTTGTGACGTAAGTAAGTATTAAAGTATTCAAGCTGCGAATTCGCAAACAACAGAAAACATTTTGCAGTGAACGATTCCCAATATCAAATTTGCTATATAAACTTTTCATAAACTTCTTTCCGAAGTATCGGAATTGATTTTGTTATTCATTTTTTTTTTAAATTAAATTTGGTAGTTATATTTGATGAGAAACCTATGGGTCTTATTTTGGTCAATTTTCGGGGACAGATATACAGACCGACCGTCCGACCACCAAGTGACAAGCAGAAGTTTCTGCCACAGATTAAAAAGGAAAATCGGTGTCAAAATTTGGATGCAAAATCCTGAAGAGCACATTCAGGTAGAGGCAAAACAATTTTTGGATTTATAATCCACAAAGTGGCTCTGGCAGGAATCGAACCAGGGACAACTCACCAAGCTTTTGAGTCAGCAGCTGCTGGCGTTTCTGTTTCTCTATCGCCACTGAAGGATCCAGCTGATTCTTGATTAATCCTCATCTCTTGAAGCGACTGCCTCGGAGCAAGGGCGCCCTCTGGAGTCTGCGATGGGAATTCCTCCATGAAGTAGTCGTCCTCTGGTTCGGTGGGATCCTGAGCAGTGAATGATGGGAAGGCATCGTCTGGATCCGAGTAAAAGTCGTACTCCGAGGGCGGGGGTGAGGGGCTCGGAATATCAATCAGATCGTCGGGGTCCTGGGTAACTGCCTCATTTTGCGTCTCCTGAAAAAACATCCCAATAAATTAAAGTTGATAAATTCAAATAATTTAAGGGCCCATTTCATGTAATTTAATTATGCAATCCTTGAAATTGCACCTTTGTGTCCCATTTAACCTTATTTTCAATTTTCGTTTTGCCATTTTCAATGGTATTTGGTGCTGTTTTGGTTTTTTGTGCTAATGCAAATGTCCATATTCATGAGCAAACCTGTGATGTCATTTCAGGCAGAACTTCTATGTTACAGCTATTCAAGCACAAAAAGTTGCTACAAATTTTGATATTTTGCTGTCATAATTTTTCTCGATTATATGTTGTGTAAGTACATGGAGTCCAATGAGCAACCCTTTCGCACACATTTTTTCAATGAGTACATTTTGGGTTCACGATTTGAACAGAAAACCCTAAACTGAACAGTGTCTTCCTGAAATGACATCACAGCAACAGCGCCCTCAGTTGTCTGGAAAAGCATGGAACATTTTCAATTAAACAAATAGTTCCCTACATTTAAGGGGAGTACAAAGTTGCACAAAATTTGGCAACTTTCATTTTCTTGAACATAAAACTGGAAACACAGTTTTCAGGGTTACCACAAAAATCTGAAAACCAAATTCCATGACTTTTGCAGGACATTCAAGGACTAAACTATGATAATATCCATGGCATTTAGCGCCATTTAGCAGAGACAAGTTGCTTGGTATTATTACATCAAAAGCGGCCCATCAAAAATAATCCTTGTTTGCTCTGTATATATTTATGACTTTTCCATGACTTTTTTATTGTCCCCAAGTTTCCATGACTTTTTTATTGTCCCCAATTTTCCATGACTTTTTTATTGTCCCCAATTTTCCATGACTTTTCCATGACTTTTTTATTGTCCCCAATGTTCCATGACTTTTCCATGACTTTTTTATTGTCCCCAATGTTCCATGACTTTTTTGTCCCCAATTTTCCATGACTTTTCCATGACTTTTTTTTATATTGTCTCCAATTTTCCATGACTTTTCCGTGACTTTATTGTCCCCAATTTTCCTTGACTTTTCCATGACTTTTTTATTGTCCCCAATTTTCCATGACTTTTCCATGACTTTTTTTATTGTCCCCAATTTTCCATGACTTTTCCATGACTTTTTTCATTGTCCCCAATTTTCCATGACTTTTTTTATTGTCCCCAATTTTCCATGACTTTTCCATGACTTTTTTATTGTCCCCAATTTTCCATGACTTTTTTATTGTCCCCAATTTTCCACGACTTTTCCATGACTTTCCAGGGCTACTTCTTTTTCCAGGACATTCCATGACTGTGGGATGCCTGATACTTTACTTTTTTTGACGTGTTAATAACTGTGAACCTTAAACAGTCATAAATTGTCAACGGAATGCCTGACTGAAGTGCAATAAACGTTTTTTACAAGAATGACTTTCTCTTTCCTAATACCTGCAAAGCTTCACTTCAGCCTCTGCACGATTCTGTCCTATTTTACGTCCCACAAGTTATCTTTGCAATAACCCTACTGATTCCTAATGTACCAAAATACAACACCTCAGACTATGATTATGATTATGATTTTGATTGATTGATCGGACTTACCGTAAAGAATTCACAGGTGTCTGGCATAAACTTCAGGGTGTTCGTTGAGTATCCGTGCAGAGCTGGGTCGCAATCCATCTCGTCTACAACATCAAGTTTAGTTGCATAAAAGTGACAATGCTCAGGCTGAACAAATTCTTCTTGCAAGAAATTACACAAAAGAAATTACATGAAAATGAATGAAACTGCTGAAAACTGCTCACTGACTGGATTGACCTGAGATATACATGTACAAATCAAGAAATTGAAACGGCCTGATATTTTAACCTTAGCACATGTAGCAAGGGCTTCTTCAAAGGCAAACGGCTTTTGGCTCAAGAAGGTCCTGCTATTTAAGACTGAAATATTTGGCCATTTAAATTTTTTGAAAAGAAACTACACACAGCAATGGGTCAATATCGGCAATTCCCAACACAGGTGCACCACCAAGAGTTTGCCCCGGAGAGTTCATTTTCAAATAAACAGTCGACAAAAACATGGCCGTGATTCGAACAAATGTCAGTAGACAACTTCAGGAATTTTTTTTATAGATCGGGGCAAAGCATTCTGTCACCTCACAGAAAAAAAAAACACCATTGTGATAAAAAGAAAAGAAAACAATAGTTGAATCATAAGCTTATGAAACAACTGACTGGACAAACTAACAAGTTTAAGTGTCACGCGCTGCGAATGTGTCGACCTTCTCCCACAATGCACTGTGAATAATGAACGCTCCGTGGCAAACTCTTGGTGGCGCACTGTATTGGAAATCCCCCAAACTGACGAAAGATATTGGCAAATAAACCAACAGTTTTAAGTGTCCCGCGCTTGGAATGAGTCGCCCGTCTCCCACAATGCACTGTGAACTGACTCTGTGGCAACTCTTGGTGGCGCAATTGGGAATCGCCGTATTGACGAAAGAAATTGGCCAATGAGCAAACTGGTACGAGGAAAAAATGATACAATTTTCGAGTGACTTACTATTCTCTTTGTTTTCATCTTCGTCGCTCTCGTCTGTTATCAACGCTGCTTTGTGTCGTCTGCTGAGTCGTCTGGATCGGTTGATTGGTTTGTCATCTATATATTGAAACAAAAACTCAAATCTCAACAGGTTGAACAACATATCTTTCGCATGATGCTCGTATCCCCAATTCTAACAGACATCGTCAGCTTCTTTGAAATTACTGGATTTAGAAGGGCTATTAAGGTTAAACTGAAGAAAAGGTTTGGCTTTTTATAGAGAGTCTCACAAGTTGGAGGGTAGTAATGTTCAATTCAACGGCCCACGTAATATAATTTTTTTTAAGGCAATCTTTGAAAATGCACCTTTGTGTCCCATTAAACCATATTTTCAATGATTGTTTTGCCATTTCAAGGGTATTTTGGTGCTTTTTTATTTTTATGCTAATGCCAATTTCCATATTCACGAGCAAAAGTGTCATTTCAGGCAGAAACCTCAATGTTACAGCTATTTCAGCACCAAAAGTTACCAGAATTTTGGATATTTCGCTGTCGTCTTTTTTCTATTCTTTGGTGATTCATTGATGTGTCAGTACATGGTAGTAAGCCAATGAGCAAACTTTTCTCATAAATGTTTTTAATATGCAAATTGTTGGGTTCACAATTTGAATACAAAACAGTGTCTTTCCTGAAATGACATCACAGCAACAGCGCCCTCCATTGTCCTGATAAGCACGGAATTCTTAACAAAAATGGTTTAAAGAAGTGCATTTTGCAATAGAATAACCAAAATGGAAAATAGTTTTCATAAATTTTATAAGAGGAATAGAAAGATGCACAAAATATGTGATGCGATCAAGCTAAATGAGTCGTTTGTCGACCCTGGTCAATTTTTATTTTTACACTTTTGAACAGAGCACAATCTCAGCATTACTGCTGTGAAAACCGCATGCTGATACCATCTTTAGTTCAAAAATTATGGAAGTCTGAACACCAAGAGATGTGATGAAGTGATGTGATGTAGTGGCCCTATTTTGGCCTGAATTTCCAAATGAAAGTTCCCGACAAACAACTCATTTAGCTTGATTGCACCAAATATGATCCTAAGCAAAATTCACTTCATGGATCCTGAAGAAAATTCACCTGCACTTAGGACCTACACAACGTTAGGCATTAAGAACAGCGGGAACCAGTTGCAAGCTATATACATTGCATAACATTTTAACTGGTAACCTATTTTGCTAAGTGAACATACTCTGCGCTTACCAAATTTCTTTGGTAAGCAATTCTATGATTTTTTTTTCGAAGGAATGGGCTGTATTTAATAACGACAGCAACAAAAGAATTCAAAATTTTCGTTTTCTAACCAGCGTTCTCGTCACAATCCGACAGCTCCCGCAAGTAGTCCGGACTAATGGTTGTCACTTCTTGTCTTGTAGTTTGTCCTGCGGGCTTGCCAATGCTATTGGTCAAGTCGATGCATTCATAACCGTTCCAATCTCCGGCTTTCGTTCCTGATGAGGTTTTAGGGTTCCAATCTTTACTCTTGACAGCTTTTGGACTGTGCTTCTTCTTTTTATCTGTAAATTGGAAATAGCGCTCAAGTATTGCGAGGTGACAATGTACGGCAAGATAAAGACAAGTTGAATTTAGGGATGAAATGTCGTGAATAGTAAGTTAAGTCTGTCACGAGCCAATATGGCCCATCAGGCCGGCGTTTATCTGCAGTTTCAGTAGCATGAAACGACTGAGAATATTTTTACTCCCATTGATGGGATGCTAGTCCATCGCAAGTTACTCCCCAGCTAACGCTGGTAAATTGTATACTCCTGGGTGGAGAGAGGCAAGTGGAGGTCAAGTGGCTTGCCCAAGGGCACAACATATGGCCAGCAGCTGGATTCGAACCCCTGACCCTCTGATCATGAGTCACGAATCCTACCCACTAGGCCACACTCCCCAACAGTCCTGAAAGAGTTTTAAAAATTCCGTTTGAATTCCGCTGTTCAATTTGGATTTTGAAAATTGACCAAATCAACTAAAAAAAAAAAAAAAGGCCTTCCATTTTTTGTGACACAAGGTAAAGTGTTAAAATATTTGAAACATACACTAATTTGGTCCGAGTCTGCATTTACTTGCTAGTGGTCTTCTTGGTTCGTGAAGGGGCTACCCATTCAACAGAACGGGGAGTTCCAACCAAGTTTTTTAACCGTTATAGTTTTTGTAAAGGCCCAGTGGTCACTGAATCCTGCAAACTATACCCAGTCATTGGGAGGGCATTGCATGTGGCACCTCACCCGTCACTTTTTGTTGGCATGACTGTGAGCTGGATGGGAACTTTCATTGAAAATCGGATAACCGTTATTCAGTTTGAAAAAAAAACTTAGGAGAACCAGATTTAGAAATGTCTGATACTCTGATTCTCCCACATATAATCCTGAAGCAAAGTAAAGAAATAATTTGATAAATGTAAAAAATAGAAAGAAATATAAACCATGACAAGACCAGTTTAACAAGACCAGTTTAACTGGTCTTGTCACGGTTTATATTAGTAGCAAGCGTTGACATTGTCTTTTGCGCCTATCGATTTCAACCAAACTTTGTCAAAAGTATCAGTAGCCCAGCCCAACATCTCACATGACACAACTGGGTCAGAGGTGAGAGAAATGATAGCTCCATCCCATTCAGAGAGGCCTCTCCTATAGATTGGCTTGTGAATAAAGAATGTGCGTAGGAACAACACATTGAGTTATTCGATGGTGTGACATTGTGTGGTTCATTTCTTCAATTGAGACACATGAGGGGGTCTTCAAAATTGGGTAGAAATAAGAGGGAGAAATCAAGGGAAGTTTTGACCGTAGCCAAGTTTACCCAGGCAGTGGGGTGGGTTAGGTTTTACCTGAGGGCAATAGCGGGAATGCATTTTCGTCCCTTCGGGGACTCATCAGCCGCTAGATTCAAAAGAATCCGTAGGTATGGGTCAGTGAGTTAAAAGGAACTCACTTGGAGGAAATTCCGTCAAAATTTGTCTGATAAGTGACACTTACAACTTCATTTGGATGAGATTGGTTCATCCAAGAGTGAAATTAGGATGTCAAAAGTATTGTCGTTCTCAGATAAGTGGAAGACTGGTTGGTATAGCCGGGTTGGGAACAAAGTTGGATCTTGTTCTTACCCACATTCTTTATTCACAAGCCAATCTATAGGAGAGGCGTCTCTGAATGGGATAGAGCCATCATTTCTCTCATCCATCCTGGGGTCACTGGGGTCAAAAGGCTGATATTTTTTTATTTTTTTTTACGCAAAACACTACTCCTGCCAGAAATTACATAGCACAATCACGCGACTCAGGCATCAACACGAATTCGTTGGCCCGCAGCTTCCGAGATATTTCCGATCCAGCCAGTAAAGCAACACTTGGATTTTATACAACACAGGAATATTTTCTATTTTCCAACCTGTTAAAGGGGATTCGAGGAAATCATCCAAGTCATCGAAATCATCGGGCAGCGAATCTTCAATGATGAACAAGTCGTTCAGACCACGGGACTTTGAAGAATGCTGATCAGATTGTTGCCTGTTATTCCTAGGGTTTTCCAAAATAAAAATAACCAAAGATAAATTGAATGTGCTGAGGCATATTACAACAGAAAAATTGGGGTGCAACTTATCAAAAGCGAAACGGTTGTGTCGAAATAAACCAATATGCTTACTCTATCTGTTCGTACCTTCAAGTGTTCAAAACGGCGATTATAGCAATAATCAAATACATTAAAGCTGCATGTACCTGTGCCCTAACAAGCATGAATATTTTAAAGAGGTTGTGGAATGCTCGAAGACATTTCCGTCATTTTTCGAGTATATGTAGCCTAAGGTGTGATGAAATAAAAACGACTATTGTTTCTGTCATAAAATGAGTACAAAAGGTACTTTTGAGAGCTGTTTTTCAAGTCCTGTTATGCCTGTTTCGACCCGAACTAGCAATTTGTGTAAAAGTCGTCGTTGCGGGCAGCAAACAAAACACAGTAAATCGTGACGTAATAAACAGGACTCCCGATACAGAGTAGCATAAACGAGTCCTGTTTATTACGTCACGATTTACTGTGTTTTGTTTGCTGCCCGCAACGACGACTTTTACACAAATTGCACGTTCGGGTCGAAACAGGACCTGAAAAATAGCTCTCAAAAATAACCTTTGTACTCATTTCATGACAGAAACAATAGTCGTTTTTATTTCATCACACCTTAGGCTACATATACCCCAAAAATGACGGAAATGTCTTCGAGCATTCCACAACCTCTTTAAGGGGATTTGTATTTTTGGTAACAAAATTTACTTTTAATAGCACTGAATACTCCCCTCAATGTGTGTTTACTAAAAATCGTAGAGATTGTTGCAACCTGACGCCACTTTCTTCATCATAAATTATCTCAATGAAAGTCAGTCATTGCAAAACTGTTGAACAGATATGAATCTGGGACTGAGAAAGTTTTCCCATTTTGTTAGAAAAAAAAACATTGAAAATGCACTTGACTCTTTGTAGACTTTGTACACAACCAAAGAAGTGGCATCTGAATTATGGATCTCCTACTGTCACAATTTTTTATTTGTTTTTAACAAAACAAGGTTTTCACATTTTTTCATTCTAGAACTGGTTATGACAAGTGACTGCACTACATAACGGAAAGATTTCCATATACGAAGTTCACTCAACACTCTGTGTACAAACCCTATGAGAGTGGACTGAACAATTCTAAGTGTTTTCTAAGAAAATGCTTGTATTTTCTCACTGCTCAAATTGACTTTGATGACATGAAATTGCTATCCGGGGGCTTGTTAGTCAATACAGAGGAAAATTAGTGAACTTCGCATATGGTAATCTTGCCAAATTGTATGACCACATGGCGATCGTGTACTGTAGGACCCCGTTCCCTACAAGAGAGCAAAATCTACTTTAAATTTATTTGACTTACCAAACTAGTTGGCGACATTAAGAATAAACAGGTCCATAGATAGAGGGCAGGATTGTGAATATTTGAGCGCAATTTGGGGGTAAAATAGCAATGAGGACGACAAAACGCAACACGAAAATAAAGCTGGCACTCATTGCCATGACATCGATGTACCGTGAACACGCATTAAATCGCATGGCACCAACCGTAAACCGCGTATGAAAATTGCAATTTCTACCCCAAGAAACTCTTCAAATTTACACAAAACAGTGTCAGTAAGGATTGAGAAAGTCTGCTTTAGGCTGAAAAGTTCATTTTTGAATGATAACGAGCACACTTGACTCTTACTTGATCAAAACTAAAGAGGGGTCTTCACTACACGATGGCCAATCACGTTATCATTGCTGTACGATTTACCTCGAGTTCTGAGGTGTATATGGTTGAACAGACGCAACAGGTTTTGAAGTCTGTGGAGGGGATGTTAGAGCATCGGACGATACAGGCAGCTTGGGTAACGCTGAACCCGCAGCCAAGCTGGAATGTTTAAACTCTGTCGCTTTCCCAAAGTTGTTATTGGTGGACAGGGCTTTAAGGGGGTGGGTCATGGTTGCTTTAGAGGGGGGTTGGAACCACGACGTTAAGGAGGCCTGCGTTGTGGAACATGGTGCCTGTGTGGGGGGGATGACTCCTGATAGGGGCGTCTCACTGGAATTGTTCGCTTGTTCTTGCTTCTGTCTTGCGCTACGGGAAAGCTTGAATTTGAAATTTCTGCAAATGAAACAAATACAAAGGAATAGGTATTTGAAAAGACAAACTTTCTGATTCTTAACTGTCTTTATTTGGCAAAGCATCATGACCTAGGAACATTACAATGACCAAAGTTTCAAATATAAAAAAAAAGGAAGTGGCTATCGTTAGGACAGCTGTACAAAGTTGTAAATATTGTCAATGGTTTATACAGCATTGTAAAAACACAATCCAAAACCAGCCACCCAGAATGCTTCGGTAGCTTGATTGGGTCATGGTTTATACGTTTAATGAGCTGGGGTTTTTAAATATAAAAAAAAAAAATGTGTTGTACATGTTTATATAGACTTCTTAACTTTTATGTTTTTAATCAACACATTCGTTTTATTAAAGTAGATTTCATTTTCTTCTTCGTATTAAATCTGTGACTTTGAGTGAGTTTGGAAGATTTTTTTATTAATAACTCAATCAGTCAATAGCCTAAGGGAAATCAAATCTGAGAACCATTCGGTTGAATGACAGTCTGCATGGTTCCGGTCTGGAACCAGACAGTTCGTTAAATGAACATAATGAATGATACTTCATAGCGCAACTAAAAGTATCATGTAAAAATCACGTGACGGCTGCCATCACGGCCATACCTGATTATGACGATAGCCACTGCAAACAAAAACAGCATTTTTATCCATAAACATGATTAAAGGTAATCCTTACTTTTAGGACCCGTTCCTATATAAGGTTACAAGACTCACCAAAACAGCTGGCTAAATGACTCTCAAAAGTGACATTCTGATATTTCTTGTCTTATATCTGAACAGTAGGCCTACATGGCCTATATCAGCAGGTTTGTTTGTGGAAAGAGGCTGGCAGGGCTTTGATTTATGAGGGAAATTAGGGGGGTAAAACACGGCAATGACACATTGACAAACAGTAAACAGACTCAAAAACCAAGATGACAAACTGCAAAAAAGGTAGGAAATAGTCACATGTTCTTTGAAAGTGATTTCAAAATTACAACGTTAAAACATTCATCAGAAGATAAGACTTCTTTAGCCTGCAAAAGTCACTTTGGTACTACTGGTCAGTTTATTGCAAAAATGCAAAATTCAGTTTTGAACAGAACTTGTGAAAAATAGAGGTGTCCTAATTCTAAAGATAAGGATTAGGACTATAGTACCATGATAAATTGTCACGAATGTTTCCAACAATTTGATTGAAGATTATGTTGTATTTACTCATAATTTAGTTGGCAAGCAGAACTTCCCCTCCCCCCCCCCAAAAAAAAACAACAACAAAAATACATAAGGGGCGAAATTAGTTAAGTTTAGGCTACAATATCGAATAGGGGGCGAAGTGTCAAAAAAGCACGAAAAGAATTTTCAAATTTGGCGCTGTGTGAAAGCAAATTTAATCGAGACTAGAAACAGATTCTAAAGCCCATTTTTCAACTGGAAAGTATCTAAATTGATGCATTAACAATACGTTATGTCATTCAAAACTACCTTATTAGTAAACAAGACAACATTTACCCAAAAATTTCAAATTGTAATGAGGACACGGCAAAAACATACCTCATGTTGACGAAAATTTAGGCGCTATGTTTCACAAGTCAAAGGTCATTTCCCACAATGCTTCGTAACTTCCTTTTCGTGGGTTGCCCTCAAAATACCTCAGTAAGAAATGTGAACTTGACTTTAAAATCCGTCGATTTTCTTTCAATCCTTTGATATTTGTTCCTTAAAATGAATCATATTTAAAATTAAGTGTATGCACTTCTATAGAGTCACAGTTTTTATCCATTTTCCTGTGTATTCTTGTGATTAATTTAATTTTGTTGTGAACGTTTTGGAGCCGATATGTGAACGAAAATTATCGTTAAGCATTTACGTGATCATCAATCAGAACTCCAAATGTTGTGAATTTCAAACTATTTGCACGGTTACCAAAAAGAAGTTTTGTTTCATTATTGTGAAAACACTGTAAAAATAGATTTAACGGTACAAATTTGCCCTGGAAAAGTGGATGTCCGGATACTGGGCATGCTAGGCAAATTTGCAGCCAGCGCCAGTGTGCTCTTTGCAGCAATTTATTTGGCTATAGGCCTAGGCCTACCTAATTAGTATAAACCATGAGGCCATGCTCGCTAACGGGGCTTGTGTATTGGAAAACAATCCTTCATATTGTCAGCTGTTATTTTTACAACCTATTTTTTTTCTTTGATCATTCATGATGAGTAATTTTTGGGAGTAATTGCAGAATACCCCGCCACTCGGAAATACACCCCTAAAATCACTGGCTACGAGGTTGGAATCACTGCAAAAGAAACAATTCAAGTCCATTGCCAGCTACGCGGAAACTGAGTGGGGGTCCATTATTTGAGAACGAAGCAACACAAAATGAATGGGAGTTGCTTGCTGAAAAAAGTCCAAACCAACCACCCTGTTGGCGGCTACGACTAAGTACGAGGCTACGGAGTGGGAGTCCCCTTGAATATGCTTGAGAACGAAGCAACACAAAAGGAATGGGAGTTGCTGAAAAAATTCTAAGTCCAAACCAACTACCCTGTTGGCGGCTACGCGGTTACGAAGTGGGAGTGCAATGGAGCATGACGCATAGTACATACAAGTAGCGCTGAGAATGTTTATTGAGGTCAATCAACCGTGACCTCGTAGCCGGCTACGAGGTGGATAGATCGAGTGGCGGGGTATCCTGCAATTGTGCCAATTTTTGTTTAAATGGGAGGGGGGGGGGGGGACGTGGTGTGCAGGTGTCGGGAAAAAAATGTTGCAAATGTTGCCTACCTACCGGGGCAAGAATGTTGCAACCTGATGCCACTTCTGCGATTGTGTACAAAGTCTATGATCATGAATTCATGATACTTGATGGAGAGTCAAGAAAATTTTCTAAGTTATCATAACAAAATTGGAAATTTTTTTCAATCCCAGATTCATGTCTTAAATCTTAATCTTATCATCCTTTTTGCTATGACTGTCCTTCATTGAGATGATATATGAAGAAAAATTGTGGCGTCAGGTTGCAACATTCTTTCCAATATAAAATGTTATTACGTGTGATATATAGGCCAAATGAATTCATCCTAATTGAATTGTAATAAATTGAATTATTTTGATTGTAGATATGGCAATCCGGCATGACATGTGTGTTGGCCTCAGCAAAGGCTTCAAGACGACCAAAAATGTAGTCAAACCCAAGAAAAAGGGGGTGAGTGTACTTCGTCATTTGCAGCTTTGATGCAGTGTCACACTACATTAAAGGGAATATACAACATTTGCAAACATCGAAAAATAAAACTACCAAGTTTTTAAGAAATACCTTACTAGGATGTTGGTAAATGAGAGTCTAAAGCATCCTGTAAAATAATGGCACCTGGTGTGAAGTCATTTTCAAGAAAATTGTATTTTTGTATACATTTCCAACGGTGATCGGCCGACCACCGTTGGAAAAACCTAACTATATTTCAACTACTGCTCCAAATTTACCTTTTTTCAGTCCAAATTTTGTTTGGTATTGGTTACATGTTCATGAACGGGTGCAGGCCAGCTAGACTGGTTCCCTTACCTTACAATTTTCTGGCAACTATAAATTGATCCATTTCATCTTTAGTGGAGTCAGGGAACCAGACTACTTAAACAATTTTGTTTTTCTTGGTTTTTCTAGCATTTTTGAACATAAAACTTCAAACATGTCAGTGTAACAATGTTTGATCTATTATACTAACCCCTCAAATACTCCATTTCTGAAAATTACAGCAAAAGCCAATGATGTACATTCCCTTTAATAACGGAGGATTTTTCAGGCAGTGGTCACCCCTCCAAGGACCACATTCAAGAAATAACAACTTGGATGCAACTTCACTCCTGCAAAATCATCTGTTATTTTTCTTGAATGTGGTCCGTGGAGGGGTGACCACTGCCTCAATCCTGCAAAATCCTCCAGCAATCACTGTCAATATGTTAGGCAGAGCCAGTGACATCCTGGAGCAGTGCGGAGGATTTCATGTATAATCTAGGCCTAAATTTATGCACGGCTGAGCATAAACAACACAAGGTCCGGCCCAAGACCTTGACACAGTGCATCCTCCGAAATCGGCCACATTTTTGCCATATCGCCTCAATCCTGCGAATTCCTCCATTTTGCAAAAAGAATTTTGGAGGATTTGAGAAGATTAGGGTTAAAAATATACAATGGTACATATTTTTTTTTAGAAAGATTTCCATTATACGAAGTTCACTCAACACCCTGTGTACAAACCCTGTGAGATTGGACTGAAAAATTCTAAGTGTTTTTCTAAGAAAATACTTGTATTTTCTCACTGCTCAAATTGACTTTGATGACATGAAATTGCTATCTGGGGGCTTGTTAGTCAATACAGAGGAAAAGTAGTGAACTTCGTCTATATGGAAATCTTTCCTTAGGAACTTCAATTTCACGAAGGAAATTATTGTTTTGTTGCAGCCACGCAAGCACGTCAAATTTGTACGTGATCTGGTTCGTGAGGTCTGTGGCTTTGCGCCGTACGAGAAGCGCTGCATTGAATTGCTGAAAGTCAGTAAGGACAAGAGAGCGCTCAAGTTTTGCAAAAAGAGAGTAAGTGACTACAGTATTTTGCAAAGCCACGTCGGAATTACGTGACTACGGCTTGCAAAAACACATGCACTATGGAAGCCACTTTCCGTAGACTGCACCACTGCTAGTCGTAGCCTTAATTCGGACATGGCCATACCCAGACTCAGACTGGGACCGTGAGTGCATAAAAACGTGCAAAATTACTACTGATGTTTTTTTACTCACCATTCGGCTAATTAATGCCCACACAACACATACATCGAAATGCTTAAGTTTCAAGCATGTCACCTGCAAAATTTGAGACCTTCAATTCAATTTTAAGGCAATTTTTTTGGCAGTTCAAAAACCATCCACGTCATTCTCCATGCTTTAGAAATGGTGGTGTGATTCCCAAGGTATTCTGGGTAGGTGTAGGAAGAGCCTTCCAGCTCACTTGTTTTTTAATCGATGGCCAAATGAACATAGCGCCCTCTGTTAAAAAATGAAACATTCTGCATTCACTCAGATCATCAAGAGGGCGCTGTTTTATCTACACGATGAAAATGTTTTAGCTGAGGAGTCTTTTGCACAATGCATTGCAGTACACGTCAACGTGATGTTTTTCGCTTTTGGATTTCGATAACTCCCTGCAAAATTAGAATTAAACGCTGAAATTTTGGTGATGCAATGCTCACAACAGCAACTTTGCAGGGCAGAAGTTTCGGGGATTATTAATGAAACTGTAGTGAGTAAGAAGCTTGCACATTTGATTCACACTGGTTTTATTATGCAGCACAAACTTTTGCACGATATGGATACCTTAAGTTTTGGGACTCTCATAGTACACAGTATTGAGAGTCCCAAATTTTCGGACTAACCCAGACTGGGACCTTAAGTGCAGAACAAACATGCTTAACAAAATCAGGCAAACTCACTTTTTAGCCCCCCCCCCCCCAACAAAATTCTCAAAAATTGTCATGAGGCAAAGACAAGGTCCTCGGTATTTCACCAGCCAAGTTTGAGGTCTCAATTCAATTTTTAAAGGAGACTTTTCTTCAACGTGTTGCAGCTTAGAGTGAAGCCAAGTGATTTCAATTTGAAGCCTAAGACTAGACTGGTGCACGTCCAACCTTTTAAAAAGATTGACCCTTCAGTAGTCTGGTGGCAGGACTATAGGAAATGTGTGGAAATAAAGCTAGGTACCAGATGTTTCTTTTGACACAATCGATTGATGCAGACTTAAAGGGGTGTAGGACTGGTTGTTTCAGGTGCCAGTCTATTTTCTTGTCATTGCATGTTTTCAATACCTTAAAGAGGTTGTGGAATGCTCGAAGACATTTCCGTCATTTTTTGGGTATATGTAGCCTAAGGTGTGATGAAATAAAAACGATTATTGTTTCTGTCATAAAATGAGTACAAAAGGTACTATTGAGAGCTGTTTTTCAAGTCCTGTCATGCCTGTTTCGACCCGAACGTGCAATTTGTGTAAAAGTCGTCGTTGCGGGCAGCAAACAAAACACAGTAAATCGTGACGTAATAAACAGGACTCCTGATGCAGAGTAGCATAAACGAGTCCTGTTTATTACGTCACGATTTAGTGTGGGTTTTTTTTGCTGCCTGCAACGACTTCTTTTACACAAATTGCACGTTTGGGTCGAAACAGGACCTGAAAAATAGCTCTCAAAAGTAACCTTTGTACTCATTTCATGACAGAAACAATAGTCGTTTTTATTTCATCACACCTTAGGCTACATATACCCAAAAAATGACGGAAATGTCTTCGAGCATTCCACAACCTCTTTAAGTTCTGGGACTCTCAACACAGTATTGAGAGTCCCAAATTATCGGACTTGGGCTAGCCCACTAAAATAATGTGATTTTGTTTTGTTGATTGGAAATATGAAGAAAAAAGTTCACATTCGGTTGGATTTGAAACCGTTTTGTTCAAAAATGGTGGCAGCATAATCAACTGATAGCGTCGCGATCAACCGATCACACACATCGACCGATCGTGCCCAACATTAATTTTCACTTGGACAAGATTATGAAGTCCTTTCTGAACAACTGCAACAGTGGATCTTTCGATGTAGTCACTCCTAATTATTTCAAATGTTAGACGTTTCATGTAAAATCTTCAGAGTTTGGCGCAACTCAGAAATGCTTTGCAACCATTGTAATAATTTTGCCCCGTTTTTTTTTTTATTCCCGTCTTGTTTTGTAGCTTGGAACGCTCCGTCGCGGACGGAGAAAGCGTGAGGAGATGATTGCCGTCATCGCTGCCCAGAGAAAGGCGCAAGCGGGCGCCACACAAGCACAGACCACTGCTAAATAATCATCTTTAAAAACATGAAAAAAAACAATGGCATCACTTCCGGCATCTTAATAAGCAAATAAGTCAAGAACATTAGGCACAGACAACTTTTTGTGGAAGAACTTGAAAGACTCTTAAGTAATCTCATACAGCTAGATTTTACTGCAGTTCATTGTTTTTGCAAAAGCTGACTTGATGATCTTCATATCTTCCGAAGTCCTGTTTTACATTAATTAGTGAACGGGTTGTTATATTGAAGTTGAATAAAGGAGAAAAGTTAAAAGCTGGAAGTTGCAAAACATAGCGTCACTGTATTATTATTGAAAGTCATGTTTGCTGTTTCTGTGACTAAAAAAAAATTCTGAAAACCAAGTCATTTGAATTCAGTAGATTGGGGTCTTTTATTGGTTATTGCACGAAGTCATAATGTACATGCAAAAAGCGATATTCAAAAAACAAGTATATGTTTTCACTCCAATGTAGAAAAACATTAAAGAGTTCACGACACAACCTTAAAAGTCCAAAATATTTTTCCTGCAATGCTGCGGAAACTCTCATGATATACAAGCCATCTAAAAGAAATGAGTTATTTAAATATCTTGCAAATTTTTAAGACGTTCAAAAGCTATACTTTTTCACTCGAAGCAATTTGTGTGCTTGAAGACAGATTGTCCTTTTATTTTTTTTAAATCACAAAATGCAGGTTATGAATGTGATAAAGCTAATATACAACATTTGCAAACATCAAAAAACAAAACTACCAAATTATTATGAAATGCTTTACTAGACGGTCGGTGAATAATAGTCTCAAGCATTCTGTGCAATCATGGCACCTGGTGTGCTGTCATTTTCAAGACAAGTGGAACTATTGTATCAATTTTTTTTCAGATACTGCCCCCAATTGACCAAATTTAATTAGTCCACATTTTTGCAATCAGTTACACATCCGTGAATGGGTGCAAGCCAGCTAGTCTGGTTCCCTAACCAGACAATTCCCCGATTTCTATACATTGCTGTTTCATCTGAAGTAGGGTCAGGGAACCAGACTACAAGAACAGCATTTTTTTCATTTTTTTCAGCATTTATGAACACAAAACTTTAAACAGGTCAATGTAACAATATTTGCTATAAAATACTAACCCCCAAATCCATCCATTTCTGAAATTTACAGCAAAAGCAAATGTTGTTTATTACCTTTAAAACACCATAACTAATTTTCCTTTAATTGGATAGAAATGATGAATAAAATATAATCATAGCACAATTTGGAATTACTTTGAAGTGATTAATCAATTTTCGTGCAATTTCAGAAGAATAAAAAAAATGGTTACAATATCAAGAATTTGAAAGCCTTTACAACAAAGCTTGATGAGCTGCCCTTTATAAACAAATGTCCATATTCAGTATAAAGATAAACTAAATTAATATAGAAATATTATTTTCCTTCTATTTACGAAGCAGAAACTATTCCAATAATGGCAACAATTTAAGGTAAAAGTTTCTCCATTAGTTCTCGGAGAACTGTACCTTAACTTTTAGCACACTAACTTTCAACTACTATTAAAGCTTATACCTTTTTCGTAGAAGACAATAGGTCTCGTTCAAATGACGTCATTTCCTAACAGACCATCTACGTGCATCGGCATTTTGAGCGTCAACTTGCATAACACGCTTCGGCTGCGTCATATTTATAACACATTTCGAGCAACAAGCACGCGTGTTTGGAACATTTTCAACACTGCGCAATGCGTGCTAGATTGTGTAAAATACGCAGTTGCAGTTCTCCTACAGAGATGGCCGTCATTGAGCGAGCTCTATAACGACATCTTTTCAGTAAAAGAGTGTCCGAAATATTTTTTGTAATATTGGTCTTGCCCTTTACTAAAACAATTTCATGAAGGCAAAACCCATGAAGTCGAACCTGTAACAGAAACTGAAGCGCAACTGCAAAACATCAACTACGTAGTACAGAGTGCGCAAAAGAAGTGCAACATTCAGAAAGCCAATAATTAAAACTGTTAACATTTTTTTCCTTCAAGGAAATTATATATTACATTAAAGCCTGACTATTTCTCCATCCACTCCTTCTTACCTCATTCCATTTAGGTCCCTAGATCCAGAAATACAATCAGTTAAGTGAAAGGGTGTAAATTTTACTTGGGCCACTCTCACCTGGACTTGCTGAATCTGGGTTAAGCATTGACTAGGCAATGAAGTTGGTGACATCACAGGTGAGAGTGGCCCAAGTCAAATGTACACCCTTTTCATTCCATTGATTGTTTTTCTGGATCTAGGGACGCAAATAGAATGGGGACAAAAGGAGTGGATTGAGAAATAGTCAGGCTTTAATGTAATATATAATTTCAGTGAAGAAAAAGAACATTAAACAGTTTTAATTTTTGTTTTCTGAATGTTGCACTTTTTTTGACACACTCTGTATAGAAAAAAATCCACTAAATATCTCTCCATTTCAAATAAACAAAACAAAAATACCTCTGAAAAGAAAATCACAGAAGAAATTTAACAGACATACCCTGTTCACTAAACACTCTTTTATAAAACAAGGTTATCCTTAGTCTACTATAATATCCATTTGAATAATTGGTCTTTGGTTACTACAGTAAATTGCAAAATATTCCAACAATTGCAAAATATTCCAACAGTTCATTTCAAATAGTACAAAGAATTCAAGTTTCGAGAAATCGTTTTCTTAGGTTCATTATTTACAAAAAGGCGGAGAATTACACCGAAATGTGTTCAACTTGAAAACATGCTCGTTATTCACATTCGGAACGTTATTCAATGGAAATATGTGCACGAAAACTATTTACAAACAACAGATATACAAATACATGAAATAGTTTCTCGGAAATGTATACACACTGTACACATCGGATCATCTTGCATTTTTATTTTTTTAGACAAGGATTTTGATAATACGTTCTGTCCACTGCATGCGCAGGCTTGTCAAACTTTGCCTCCCTTTGATCCAAAGTTGTAAAATTTCCATTTCTAAAGCTTTGTAATTCATGCGTTGAGATTTTTTTGAAGGTTTATTTCTCCGGAAAATCTGAATCTGAAATCTGGACCATAAAAAAGTCCCAAAATGTCCTGGGTCTACAAGAGTGACTGTAACGATGTCCGTATGTTCGGCGGTAGACCTGCATTACGAAATGCCATTTTATCAACGACTTTGTATTAAACTGAAATATTTACAACCACCTTAAACAGTTCACAAATATATATTCAGGCACAAGTACTGATTAACAGGAAAAATAGTAGAAATAATTTTAAATCTTAGGAAAAAAAAGAAGACATTTACTATGATTTAGCTCTCAAATATTGATTGATGTTCTCACTTTTAACCACTTCGCGCCGGGATTATTTTTGCTGAAAATTGTGATTTTTGCAAAAGGCAAAATTTTCCAGCCAACTTCTGATATACAGCCAAACGCCACAATGGTGATTCGCAAGAGACATTTCAACAGTATTTGTACGATATTTCTTGCCGAAACCTCATATGTTTCAATACTCCGGGGTTTGCACTGGAGCGTAAATTGTACAATAGGCCGTGCGCGACGGCCAATTCAAGATCAAGACACGGTCTGCCTCCAGACTTCACAGACTTTTGTGTGTGTGTACAAAAGGCACGAGGGATTAGCATGTTTAGACGTCACCCAGAGGCGAGTCGAGGCAATGTTGATGTCTTAACCCGTCAGCCGTGCCTGTGTATAAAAACAGCCAGTGCGTGTTATCACGTCCTCCGACGCAAACTGGTTAATATTTTTTTGACTCGTTTGCAGTAATTGGCTTTATTACTGCACAGACGTTCACTTCATTTCATTCATGAAAACTGATTCAAATCGTGGTTTCTGACTTTTTTTTTTGCAATATTCTTGTTAAATGCGCAGGCACATTATTCGGATGAATATAATTTGGAGAAGTTCAAAGAAACTTTGTGCCCAATTCATCGACTTTGATTAAATTTAAATATTAAACGGTGCACACCATTTCTTTCACTATAAATAACTATCATATTGATAAAATATAAAAAAATATTGAATATTTTAATGATTAGAATTATGACATGACCCTTGACCTGTAAGGTCAGAGGTCAATTATAGCGGTCAAATACATAGTATTAATGTCTGGAATATGCTATCGTGGGGTTTAGGACCCCGTTCCATATAAGAGAACAAAAAACACTTTTATGTTTTGGGACTTAATACCTTAACATTTGGTAATGATACAAGCAGGAAAAGTCACTTTATGTGTTTGGAATCATCGGAATAGTTCACTCAGATACCAATTGAAAATCTGCAAGCTTAATTTTGTGGAAAGAGGGCAGGGTTTTGATTTATGAGGAAAATTACAGGGTTAAACAGTGACAAAGACAACCTGCATGACCCCCCCCCCAAAAAAAAAATTACCAACACGGGGACAATGTCTCCGAGTGCCAAAAAAGGTAAGACATTTCCTTCAAAAGTACTTATCAAAATAACAAAAAACATGAGTTAAACAAAAAAGATTGCTAGATACTGCAAAAGTCCATTTGGAATTGACTGTCATTTGCAAAAGTCGTTTTCTAACGGAACTTGTAAAACAAAAATTGGAAGGTGTCCTAAACTACATGATTACTTTAATATTGCAATTACCGACATAGATAGTAGAATCAAAACAAATTTATTGGAAGGAAAGTTTCAAAACTAATCTGACATATTTATTGATATTCAAATTGAATAATTTATCAGGGATATAATGGAATAGAAATAACCGTTCACAGAAAAGTGAAATATTTCAAATCTGAAAAGGCAACAGTGTTGCCATAGTAACAAAATTGTTTACGGAAAGGCCATACAACAGCAGCAAAATCTATACAAAAATTTGGTTTATTTACAAAAATCTCCATTTTGGATTTCTCAACTTAACGGCGAATACTCTCCATCGTACTCCGGAAACCAACTTGCCGGGTACCAATGAATTGGTTCCGTTGTGTTGTAGTAGTGGCACGCTACCAGCTGCAGTCGCGTGATCGGAGACGATGAGATGTTATCTTTTCTTCTTCGGGGAGTCTGGCCGTAAATTCTCCGGTCTCAACTCCTGGTAATGTTTCTGCGAAGTAAAAAATGTAAAAGGAAAAAGGTTTTAATGGGAATTCATAAATACTTAAAGACAGTTGGGCCATTCCCATTGGTCGAGAGCCTGTCACGTGGCCGGTCTTAAAAAGATGATAAAGACATGGCTGGCTGGTCTTAAACAATTTTCCGGTGTCACATAAAATTTGGACTCTTATGAAATCTGGTCCGTTTTACCCTTTTATTTGTTGATGTTCACAATCTTCACTTAGGCATGCCAAATACTACCGAAGAGTCCGTATTTCATAGTCCTAAATACACAATACAACACAGCTGCATTCTGCGCCACATCCCGCAGTACACGCCACACTCTCGCCAATTTCCATATAAGGAGTTGTTTGCAATTACTCGCGATAGTTATACCATAACCTAATTAGAGGGGCGTTTAAAAACATGAAGTAAATTGTCGAACAAAATTGTTGGAATTTTTTTTTTTGGGGGGGGGCTTTTTTGTTTACTCTTTGATTAAAAAGGTATTTATGAATGGGAATAATTATGTGCTTTCCGGTTTCACATGAAAGTTGAACTCCTATGAAATCTGCTCCCTTTAACTCTTTTATTGGTTGAATCAACACATGTGACCAGTCTCTATCCTAATATAAAAGGCATGCGCAATACTACCAATAAGTCTGAACTTCATAGAGTCCCAAATTCACACTACACCGGTACCGCTGCGTTCTGCGCCACATAACGCAGTAGGTGCCATGGCACCCACCAATCTCCATATAAGGAGATAGTAAGTACTACTCACGTGAGGCACATACCATAACATATAGCTAGAGGGGTGTTGCACAAAACGAAGTATAAGTGTTGAAAGAAATCGTTGGAAGTATACAGGGGGTTTCAAAAAAAGGAAACCCAACTTCAAAGAATGAGTATGGACGGACGATATGTTTACTGGCTATAAAACTGGTATCATCTGAAAGCGTAATCTCTATGCTTTTCAATGATACCGTGTTTAGGTTTTCTGAGTCATGCATCACTGAGCACTATTGTCTTGAAAACTGGATGCAAAGATGCAGATGGTTCACTTTCATAAAAAAAAAACACATGGCACGGTGTGCCTACTGTTACGAAAATGTCTGTGAAATGGCTTGAATGTTAATCCTCGGGAAAATGGCACTTTGTTTTGAACGTGGCTTGGTCAAAACGAGAAATTCATGACAAACAATAAAATCCAGTTTTGAAACCAACCCGACTTGTTTTGGGGTTTCTTTTTATGCACTCGTGTCTTCTTCTTGGATACTTATTCTCATGCACACCATGCCTATTGTGTTTGACATGAAAGTGAACCAACTGCAATTTTGCTTCAAAATCTCATGACAGTGGCGCTCAGTGATGCATGACCCTGGAAATGTAAACAAGGTATCATTGAAAAGCATAGAGATTACGCTTTCAGATGATACCAGTTTTATAGCCAGTAAACATTTAGTCTGTCTATACTGGTTCTTCAAAGTTGGGTTTCCTTTTTTATTGAATACGTCCAGGCCCCAAGCCCATTTTAAGCGTACTTGTTTAAAGCCGGCCAAACGCACACCTATTCCCTTGTTTCTAAACTGCACAATTGGCGTGGATCTAGATTCACTCTTAGAAACTTTTTGTGACAAAATTAATGGACGTTTTACTAATCCCAGCAAAAAAAGAGGCCTCTTTGTCTCTACCAAGTTTCACGGAGCGGCTAAGCACACAAAGTATTTGCTTAGCAGAAACAGGATACCAGTCAAAATCTCACACAATTATATTGCTTGTCACCGGTTACCAGCTAATTTGCATATAAATTTGCACAAGCAATATTTTCTGCTCCATGAATTCGCTAACTTTTTTTTGCATGTTGATCAACTTTTTTTTCCTCGTTATTTGAGCTCAAGTGAGGAGATTTTGAAGATGCCGGAAGACTTACGAGTTGGTTGTCTGAGGGTATTCTTGATAGGAAGTCCATGAGTTCATTGTTGGGGATCGCGTGAGGCTTCCGAAGCTTCTTGGTGAACTTGTTGATACCTGCGAGGAAAAAAGACCGAAATATAGTTACCCTGGGAAAATATGGCCCCAACCCAATCCCAACTCCATCCGACCTCAGAAAGAACAAGAAAAAGTCAGTGATGTAGTCACGTCCATCACAAGTCCATCACAAACCCATCACAAGGCAATCACAAGTCCGTCACAAGTCCATCACATGTCCATCACAAGTCCATCACATATCCATCACAAGTCAGTCACAAGTCCGTCACAAGTCCATCACATGTCCATCACAAGTCCATCACAAGTCCATCACAAGTCCATCACAAGTCCATCACATGTCCAACACAAGTCCATCACAAGTCCACCACAAGTCCATTACATGTCCAACACAATTCCATCACATGTCCATCACATGTCCATCACAAGTCCATCACATGTCCATCACAAATCCATCACAAGTCCGTCAAAAGTCCATCACAAGTCCATCACAAGTCCATCACATGTCCATCACAAGTCCATCACAAGTCTGTCACAAGTCTGTCACAAGTCTATCACAAGTCCATCACATGTCCATCACAAGTCTATCACATGTCCATCACAAGTCCATCACAAGTCCATCACAAGTCCGTCACAAGTCCGTCACAAGTCCATCACAAGTCCATCACATGTCCAACACAAGTCCATCACAAGTCCACCACAAGTCCATTACATGTCCAACACAATTCCATCACATGTCCATCACATGTCCATCACAAGTCCATCACATGTCCATCACAAGTCCATCACAAGTCCGTCAAAAGTCCATCACAAGTCAATCACAAGTCATCACAAGTCATCACAAGTCCATCACAAGTCAATCACAAGTCATCACAAGTCCATCACAAGTCCATCACATGTCCATCACAAGTCCATCACAAGTCCGTCACAAGTCAATCATAAGGCAATCACAAGTCATCACAAGTCATCACAAGTCAATCACAAGTCATCACAAGTCCATCACAAGTCCATCATTAGTCCATTACAAAGCAATCACAAGGCAATCACAAGGCAATCACAAGTTCTCCAGTCCCAAGTCAACTCACAAGCTTTCAAATGAGTCCGTCACAAGTCCATCACAAGTCGATCACATGTCCATCACAAGTCCATCACAAGTCCATCACAAGTCCATCACATGTCCGTCACATGTCCGTCACAAGTCCGTCACAAGTCCGTCACAAGTCCGTCACAAGTCCGTCACAAGGCAATCACAAGTCAGTCACAAGTCCGTCACAAGTCCATCACAAGTCCAACACATGTCCAACACAAGTCGATCACAAGTCCATCACATGTCCATCACAAGTCCATCACAAGTCCATCACAAGTCCATCACAAGTCTATCACATGTCCAACACAAGTCGATCACAAGTCCATCACAAGTCCATCACAAGTCTATCACATGTCCAACACAAGTCCATCACAAGTCCATCACAAGTCCATCACAAGTCCATCACAAGTCCATTACATGTCCATCACATGTCCGTCACAAGTCCGTCACAAGTCCGTCACAAGTCCGTCACAAGTCCGTCACAAGTCCGTCACAAGTCCATCACAAGTCCATCACAAGGCAATCACAAGTCCATCACAAGTCCATCACATGTCCATCACAAGTCCATCACAAGTCCATCACATGTCCATCACAAGTCCATCACAAGGCAATCACAAGTCCATCACAAGGCAATCACAAGGCAATCACAAGTCATCACAAGTCCTCCAATCCCAATGAACTGTGACAAAGACATTCCTTTGTAATATTGTTCATCCCCTGTTCCTTGTGACTTGACTTGTGATTATGTTGTAACCGACTTGTGATGGTCTTGACTATGATGTTGGAATGAAGCAACTTACCCCAGGCTAGTAGCAGTAATCTCAGCGGTATTAGGTACAGGATGATGGCAATGATTAGGAGGGCGATGCAAGCCAGATAGGACAACCAGGGCACGGTGTAGTTGAAAGTACTGGAAAGAACAACAAATGAAAACTGCATTCAAGACAAATTATTTCCCAGCTAATGTGTCCCTGCTCGTCTTGCCCTTGATGTTGCTGTCCAGTTGCACCTTGGGCAACGGCCTGTCACCTGGACCAGGCCTCGTGGTCGTCCCGGCTTACCTGGCTTAAGCAGGTTGCAGATGCTGTGCAGCTGTCACCAACTGAGTGCTGCTTGCCCTTGACCAGGAAGGTTGTAGGTCACTACTACCCACTGATGGACAAGTGCAGCATGGGCCAAGTTCGCGCAAGGACTATAGTTGACCAATGGTTAACTAACGTTTGACCGAACTCTGTCTAGTTGACGGTGGTTGACTACGCTAGTCGACTATTTGAAACCAGCCTACTGGGGTTGGTTGCTTTGCTGGTAACCAATAGCCGCGCGCATTCGTAACGCTAGCAGAGAGCCAGGATCCAGAAGTTTTACGATGACATTTTGACCAGCGTTTGACTCGACTAGAGACGTTCGCACGTTGCTATTAGTGCGCAGGCGTAAGGTACGTCACAAATAAACCACTAGTAGACTAATGGTCCTTGCCCGAACTTGGCCATAGTAGTACCAGTTTTGTGTCATGTCGATACAGTGTGGCTACGTGGAATCATTCAATGGACAACAGAGGGCGCCTTGTAAGTACCGTATTCCTGCCCCGAGATGGAGCTTGTGGAAAGATTCCCATATCTGGCCGTCACTTGTCACCCTGTGCACAAATCCTATGAGACTGGCCTGAAAATTTCTAAGTGTTTTCTCAGTAAATACACGTGTGGTCTAGCGGTGGAGCACAGGATTCGTGATCGAGAGGTTGTGGGTTCGAGCCCCGCCGTGGCCATGCGTGTTGTGCCCTTGAGTAAGGCACTTTACCTCAATTACTCCTCTCAACCCAGGTGTTAAATGGGTACCGGCATTATTCAATGCTGGGAAGGTAACAGACTCGCTTTGGAGGAGGTGTGGCGATCCCCCACAGCAGCAGCATATGAGTCTGGCCCAATCGCTAATGAAAGAGAGATGGGCACTCCGTTCCTGTGAATACAGGTTCGTCCCCTTTACCTTTACCTTTACTTCACTATTTTCCCTGCTAACTTTGACTTTTTAAGTATCACTTTCTGATGGCTCATAGGTCACTGAAGGAAGAAATTAGTGATGGCCAGATATGGGAATCTTTCTGAGCTTGTTTTGGCATAAGAAATGATCAAGATCTTGCGTGTTATTGCTTGGTGCAACTCACTTTTTGACCCTTTCTCCAAGGCACGCCACGTCGTCCAGCGTGTTCTGTATCGTCTGACAAACCTTCTCTATCGTATGAAGCTTCTCCTTAAATGAACTCTTGGTGGCGCCCTCCTACAAAAACAAAAACACAATTTCATTTTATCAAAATTGAACGTACGGCTAGCTCTTAGTCTAGGGGACGTGGCTTCCATAGGCACGTGTGTTACTAAAAGCCGTAGTCAAGTTATTCTGATGCGGCAAAGACTGTGCTGGTCTGTTTTTGTCATTGGTGGAGGAAATCAAATTTCAAAAATTGGTTTGTGGAAAACCAGGTTCTTCTGAAGATGGTCAGACCCGAACGTTGAGTTTATACCTCTGGTTCTTTTCAGAACCATTCTCTTAGTTGTGAAATTATTCGCACATGGTGTTTCCGCAAACCTTTCATTCATTAGACTCTACTGTAATTGTTGCAGAATGATTGAAATCAATTTTGTGCCTCCACCTCAGGTGACCCAGGTTCGAATCCAATCCAGTGCATTAATGAAAACAAAAATTGCAAATGGAGACCTGATATTGTTGATTTACCCTTACGTGGCGCGGCCCCAACATGGCGTACTTTGATTTTTCGCCTCCAGTGCCTTGTTAGAGCAAACTTGTTACTTCAAATTTCACAGTGAGTGAAATTTCATCAAGCTCTAAACATTGAACATTCCCGTTCATAAATCTTCAGTTTACATACCTGCTACAATATTCCAGAGAAAATTCTATTTTGGCGTGATTCTTAGATTTGTTTTTCGAAGTGCACAATGAACCCCTTTTAAAATTCGCCCCAAAATACGAAAATACTTTGCTGACAAACTGGTTGTTGCGTATGTGAGTGAAGATAATAATGATCTATCAGAATTTATCAACTTTCAAGAAATTCTTAGACGTTAATGTGGGATTTTCCGAGATTTGTTCAAGTGCGCCACGTTAGGGAACACTCGGCCGAATTTGTGTCCAATTTTCGGATGCCACTGTTTTTGAATTTCGGATATAATTTCATGACACTGAAATTGTTCGCAAAGGTTCAACAGCAGGCATTATTAAGGCTATAGTACCAGTATTTAACTGAATGAATTTGAAGTTTTCTATGCAGAGGTTTGGCAACACTGCATGAGGAAAAGTCGGGAGAACTGTCAAAGTGCGCCACGTTTAGGGAACACCACTATATGTCCTTCAATGTATTTTCTCAAAATTATTTCAGGTTTGTTGAGGTGCAATATAAACAACAGTTAAAAGGGGATCAGCTCATAAAGAAAACATAGAATGTATACCAAACAGTATGAGAGTTCATCATCAGTGATTCTATGACAAATGTATGAGTATGGCTAGGCACTGCGCCCGATCACCCAGCTACTATGTGTACTCAGCACTGCACCAACAAGCAACAGAAGTTTGGGCAAGATCGTTGGATAGCTTTTCTAAAAGATGAACGTTGTTCCAGTTTCCATTCAAGCAGAAAATTTGTGGTTCAGGTGGGGGTGGGGTTGGGGTGGGTAGTGGTCAGGTGGGGGTGGAGTTGGGGTGGGTAGTGCACTGTCGGGTAGGGGTGGGGTTGGGGTGGGTAGTGGTCGGGTGGGGTTGGGGTGGTGGTCCGGTGGGGGTGGGGTTGGGATAGGTAGTGGTCGGGTTGGGGTGGGTAGTTGTCGGGTGGGGCCGGGGTTGGGGTGGGTAGTGGTCGGGTGGGGGTGGGTAGTGGTTGGGTGGGGGTGGGGGTGTGGTGGGTAGTGGTGGGTTGGGGTGGGGGGATAGCCACTATTTCCTCGCAATGTACATGAAAAATTGCAGCCTATGTAAACATCTAACTATAATTCCAGGAATCTGTGTGTGTGTGTCTGTCTGTCTGTACTTCGATTATCTCCAGAACTAGACAATCGGCCGGTGTATTGCTCGGGACCCGAGAATGTGCAGTGCCAAGTTTGAAGTAGTTTGGATGAGCGGTTCTCGAAAAAGCTGCAAAAACACAGCAATACCAGAGGCCTAGACCATGCAAACGTATACAGACCGCACAGGCACTGCTGCACATTTTCTACCGCGCCACGGGTCCCACGCGTGGAAATGGTGGTTGGCTGTATGGGCTCCACCATTTCTTCTGGTGGACCATTTCTTCAAGGGGGAAGATTGCGCAATGAAGAGGTGGGCATCGATAATTTTTTTGATGGGGACGATCGCGCAACAGTGAGGTGTAGATACGGCATGCTGTTATACAGGCTTATCGTGTTCGCGGGTCTACCTGGGGCCTAGCAATTTGCCCGTTCCAAACAGGCACTTTTTGAAGGGGAAGTGCACTAGCCGACCCAATTTTTACTAACATTGTGTATATTTTCCTGTCCAAGATTAAAGCAGTCGGACATGGTAACAAAAGACACTTTTTAAAGGTAAATTTAGAATGAAAAAAAAAAAGCATCCCAAAAACCAAAGCACCCTTCTGGTAGAAGTATCCACCCAGGAGAAGTTAGAAATAACGGGAGGGAAGCATTGAGGAAAACAGCGGTCAGCTTTTGGTTTACTTGTAGGGTAAGCGAGGGGAAGATATCTTTAAAAACAATATCATGTTTGCTTGTAGACGGTTACCAGTCCCAAAGTATATCCAAGCGTGCGTGATGAGAAATGGAAACATACAGGTTTCATAATCACATCACGGAAAAACGATCATGAAAAACCATGCAAAAAAACAGGTTTTTTATTAAATTGTTTTCTTTTCCATCAATGGTGAGTGCTTGATAATGGTCACACAATGGCAAGATTTGTTTAGATGATACATGTATCTACAACTTGGGTCTTTTCCTCTATAACAGGCGAAGAGAATTAAAAGCATTGAACAAAATATTATGTTAAAAGGGAAGATACAACATTTGCAAACATCGAAAAACGAAATGATCAAATTATCCTGAAATACCCTACTGGATGGTTAAGGAATGACAGTCTAAAGCATTCTGTAAAATCGTGGCTCCTGGTGTACTGACATTTTCAAGAAAAATCTTATTTTTCCAACGCTGGTCGACGGACCAACGTTGGAAAAATCTGGCTTTTTTTCAGAAACTGCTCCTTAATTTTCTTTTCAACCGATTAGACACCTCTGAAGGGGTAGAAGCCTGCTAGAGGCTCTGACCTTAAAATTCCCCCAAATCTATAAATTGCTCCGTTTCATCTCAAGTGGGGTCAGGGAACCAGACTTCTAGAACATGATTGCTTTTAGCCCAAAACGTGAAACAAATCAGTTTAACGATATTTGCTACAATATACCAATCTTCCAAATCCATTTATTTCTGAAAATTGCAACAAAAGCAAATGTTGTACATTCCCTTTAATAGCTACTTTTTTGCTAAAAGCTTGCATCTTTTAAACTTTCAACTGGGTTTTTAAAAGTACTCAATCATTGAAATTACCGGAAGTTCAGATTTTGAGCTGAAACATACCGTTTTACTGACTACATTGTTAGAATGAGCAAAAAAACTTTGCATTATCCTATGTCCCAAACTACCTGAAAAACTCTAAATTTTGACTGCTTTTTTTTGGCTTTCATCTCCAATAATCTCCACATACCAATGTGTAAAGATCAAAAGTTCCACTATGCTAAGCCCATTTCAGAAATAGTCCACACAAATTTCGACGACGATGAATTTTAACCTAAAAAATAAATTTTAATGGGTGCTATGAAAATGAGTGCAGTTGCAAATATCATGAAACTGTTCGTGGTCTGTTTAATAAAAAAAGGTTTTAATGTTGATATGATTTTGTTTAAAATAGTGAAAAACTTGAAAATTTAGTCCGTAAAAAGTGCTGAATTAATTAAAGTTGCTCACACACGTGTAAACAACAACGCAACGAAGACAAGAACCAACCAAAGCACAGAATTAATATCAATAAAGACCAATTACAAACAAACAAACGAACAAACAGATATTCAGATTTCAAGTATTTTCACCGAGTTGTTCTCTGTAATTGAATAAACAACCCTTTAATGCAAAAATCTTTTTCTTGTGCAATTTCAGACGTGTTTCTTTCCCTTAAAATCACGTGCTCATAACATCTGTGCAAAATGCTGATTTCTGAAAATGGATTGATTTAAATATTTTAAAGATCCTTCATTTAAGAAAATTCCTACAATTAATGCATGCAGTAAAAGGCAAGTTCAATCACGGACCACAGTTAACCATAGTATGACTAACTCTGATGGAACGCACGCTAGTCGCCGATGGTTGGACTAGTCTAGCCGACTATTCAGGACCAGCCTACCCTGGCTTGTCGCGCTACGATTTATAGCTGGTTATCAATAGCAATTTCCATAGCATAGCTGAGGGGACCAACTATCAACAAACATGGTGAAAACGATACTGTGGGCGCTAAATTTCACTTTCATTGCATAGGTTTTCCATGTTTTTTACGATCATGTCACTTTTGCCAGCACCATTGTACAATAATAATGGGGATTTTGTAACATGTTCTAATTACAAAATCGCTACTATTTGTGTTGAATATATATAGAAACGGAGTCCACTCATAAGTCCGACACCTCATAGGTCCGACGCCTCATAAGTCTAACGCCTCATAGCTCCGACGCCTCGTAAGCCTGACAAATTAAAGGCTTTATTTTTTCAACGCCGGACTTACATGTATGAGGCGTCGGACCTACGAGGCGGGTAAAAATAAATTTTATGCCGCATAAGTCTGATGACTCATAAGTCCGAAATTTCATAAGTCCAATGCCTCATAGGTCCGACGCCTCATAAGTCCGACGCCTCATAAGTCTAACGCCTCATAGCTCCGACGCCTCGCAAGCCTGACAAATTAAAGGCTTCTTTTTTCGACGCCGGACTTATGAGGCGTCGGACCTATGAGGTAGGATAACTAAATTTTATGCCTCATTAAAGTCTGATGCCTCATAAGTCCAAAATTTCGGACTTATGAGACATCGGACTTATGAGGCGTCGGACTTATGATACGGCCCCACAGAAACAACGAGTGTTGATTATTTGTGCGACCGCCATTTTCTGACGGTTGTCTGCATGACAATAGTTCAATTAGAGTCATCATCAAAGGTACGCCACCAACCAAACACTAGTTAACCATTGGTCCTTGATCGAACTTGCTCATACGGTAGCTGTCCACCCAGAACCTGACTGGAGTAAATTAATCAATACCACCACCAACAAACAAGCCAATCAAACAGAGGATCTTGCCTAAAGGCAAAAACTCAAAAATAGAAAACACGTTTCAAAGAGTTCAACAAACATTAGATTTGTTGGGTATTTTCCATATGTGGTTATTTTTAAGTGTTGATAAATCATTTTTCATGCTGTACATTAATTAGTGATAATTTGTAGACAGAACCAAAACTTTAAAAGAAATATGAAGAGTAGAAAACTGTTCAATGGTTAGACACAGATTCAGAAGTTGTCAAATTTGGATAATTTTTCTTTCATAATTGAATTCAGCTTTTGAAGCAAATTTTTAATAAGCCTGCTCTAATTAAACAAACTTTATGATTATCTATGCCCAATTTGTCAGTTCAGTGCTAAATGCACCATGTGATCCTCTTCCGTATTTAATTTGAAGTAAATTTGCTCAAAAACTAAATGTTTAAAATTTTTTTTTGAAATAGTGTGACTCAGAAAATGAAATGTGACACTCATTGGGTTTTGCAGGATATTGTATGATGTAGTAATTTGTAGGATGTTGTAGGATGTTGCAGGCTGTTGTGGGACATGTTGCACGATGTGGGTAAGTGTTGCAGGATGTTTGTTGCAGGATGTTGTAAGGCTTTGTAGGATGTTGCAAGGCTTTGTAGGATGTTGCAGGATGTTGTAAGGCTTTGTAGGATGTTGCAGGATGTTGTAAGGCTTTGTAGGATGTTGCAGGATGTTGTAAGGCTTTGTAGGATGTTGCAGGATGTTGTAAGGCTTTGTAGGATGTTGCAGGATGTTGTAAGGCTTTGTAGGATGTTGCAGGATGTTGTAAGGCTTTGTAGGATGTTGCAGGATGTTGTAAGGCTTTGTAGGATGTTGCAGGACGTCGTAGGAATTTGTAGGAAATTGCAGGATGTATGATGTTGATGGAATTGTAGGAAGTTGTAGGATGTTACAAAATAGATGTGGGACACTTCAGGATGTTGTTCAAATTTGTAGGATGTTGAAAGATGTTGCAGGATGTTGTAGAATGTTGTATGATGTAGGATTTTGAAAGGTTTAGGTGGTTAGGCTTTAGAAGCACAGCACTATACAATGAATGATTGAGCAAATGATCACGAATGACAGTGGGGGTGACATTTGTTCATTCTATCCAACGTTGATGTCGACACTAATGCAATGTGTGTATGATACATGATGTACATGAAGACTTTGTGATTGCATCTACAGAATAAAATACTGACTAATGATAATCGGACATCACACCGAATTGAGAAGAGTGGATACTGCGTTATTGAGTAAAAATCTTGTAATTGTAACGGACCTTTTCAGCTTTGGCCACACTTTATGCTCCGCCCATTTTCAATTTGTTTGACTGAGCTATTATGGTCACCTGATAACAAGTTGTGTTCTTATTGGTCAATATGCACTGTTTGTAGAGTTTGATTGACAAGTAGGAAGGGTCCATTCTAAGTTGGTAGGGGTGCAAGTGCAATGTTGCAATATTCTAATCAGAGTTAAGACACAATCAAAGGGTGACTGTGAAATCGTTTCATTTTGCCATGCGTCACAAAAATGATTAGTCTTATGATTGCCATGGTAACTATAGGCTCAACATATTTCCACAATAATGGTAAGGAACACAAGCAATACTCAACGAAGTTGTGAACAAAACAATTTTTAATTTCAAATTTGGCAAACTTACGTGTAATTGTCAATTTCTTTTTCTTTTTTTTTGTGGGGGGAAGTGCGTTTGTGGTGGAGATAAAATGGGGGCTACATCATATATGCAAATTATATAGAGTGACATCATATATGCAAATTAGATGGTGCCCTGACCAAAATTCCCTGGTCCCTATTGATTCTATGAGTTTAAACATCGACTTTGTGATATCGATGAACGTGAGCACACACTGAATCTAATGTACAGCATGACGAAATGATCATCTACAACATTACACAGCATTGATTCAAAATGCAATGCAACGAAGACAATGGAAAAAGTCTTGCAATAGAACGTCAGTCAACGAGAGGACTTTTATCTCCAAAAAGAAAAATCGCAGTTAAGAGAAAGTGTAAAGCGCATGAAGACAACTAGTATGAAACAGGACTTAAAAAATGCAGTAAGCTGGCTGCTAAGCTGGCTGCTTACCTTGCGTTTCTTCTGTTTTAAATTCACATTTTTTTGAGACAAACAAAAGAAAAAGACAAATCACAGATGGAACTTTTTAACAGACGTACAAAAGAATAATTACAATAATTCAAAAGATTTTTCTACACTGACTTGAACTCTGGATCTTTCAATATAGGTTTTCCCAGCCAATTTCCTAAAATGTTCATTCACTTCTGATAATCGGGAATTCGTTTTCGCCCGAATTTGAATGCACGTCTTTAATCCCATTTCAATTCAACAAAGGTTCAATCGTTTCCATTGTCCGTGCATTCCGATCGGTTTTGAGAAACAGATGGCCAACTACGTTACCTGTGCATTCATTTACGCAAGCACATCTTTTCTAAATTGATTTCAGGTACAGCTAATTTGATTGACGGTTAATGAAAAAGAAACCCTTAATTGTATCTGGTGTCGATGGCATTAAACTAACAGTGAAATAGAACGGTGAGTGTTTAAAATCGCCTCCTAAAAGCGAAAAAGAAGTCTTGTAAACAAATCTGAATGAGATTAAACGAAAGGGGCTGCTCAATCACTTAATTGATTGAACTGAAATGGAATCGAATGCTCTGGTAGCGAAAATGAAACACGTGTTCAGAGCAATTCTCAACTTCAGACAAAAATGAATGACTGATATTCAGAAGTGAATGAACATTTTAGGAAATTGGCCGGGAAATCCTATATTTTTAATATTTTATGTTCAATGCAGAAATACATTCCAGAAACAACCAACAAAAAATATAAGCGTAGATTTTAACAGTAAACATCTAAGTGTACATGTACTTTGAACCTCCATGCTGAAAACGATCGAAGATTACGTCAAAACTCATTCCTTTTGAAGATGCATTCTCAAAACAAAACAAAAATCTAATCAACAACTCAACCAATCAAATGAAAGCTTTTAAGTCATGTGACTTTTAGGTCATGTGACCTTACCTTTTCCTCCTTCTCAGCCTCTTCTTCATCCTCGCTCTCAACATAATCCTGAAACAAGCATGAGAGATATTATCGCTACAAATATATCCAGGATTCCTACACAAAGGCTCTTCTGATATTGGTCCATGAAATTAACTGTTCAGAAATACCGGGAAAAAAACAAAAAAAATTGTTTAAATGATATTGGTTTTTTCGCCCCCTCTCAACAAAAGTAGGGGTTGATTTGACGGTGGAGATGGTTGGGTAGTGGAGGGGCAAAAAAATATGAAAAAAAATCATTCAAAAAATTGTTTTTGACATGTAATTTTTTTTTACAATTTTATTCTATTTTTACCTACAAATAAAGGCCAAAATAGAGCACTGGTAAAATTAATTAACCCTTACTCTCTGAGGGTAGTTTACTGCATGTCAGTTGGTTATGCCAATGCCCTCCAGCTGCAGTTTATTGGCAGATAGTTTGTCTTAACAGTGAAGGCTCCAATTGGCAAGAGTTGGAGGCCCTGGAGGGTGCCTGATACTGACCAGCTGGGGGCACTCACTTTGTTATCAGAGGACTCTCATTGTTCTCTGTGGCATGTATTGGAGTGCCTGTCCAGTTACCCTTGAAATGACATGGCAGATATTGGAGGGCCATGCAAAAAACATAGGAGATTTTCTTGAGGCACATATTGGCATGCGTTGGAGGGTCTAGTAGGGTAAGGGTTAATGAAATAAATTGTAATGCTTATATAGCACTTTCCATTGTATCAACAATCTCAAAGTGCTTTAAAAATTATTACCCCGTTCATCAGGCCATGGGACCACACGGCAGCCGATATCAGCGCTCAATCGGTCCTCGACCCTCACAGGTACCCATTCATACTCCTGGGTGAAGAGAGGCAATTGTAGTGAAGTGTCTTGCCCAAGGGCACAAACACCTTGTTCCTGGCAGGGTTCGAACCCACCACCATCGTACTTAAGTCGAACACCGTAACCACTGGACCACAGCATTTTTAAATACCTCCCCACAATGGAATTAGCAAATATTTTTGAATATTCGGCGACTCACGTCTTCCTCCACTGCTTTTGTGAATTTCTCGGTGATGCAAACCTCGACGTACTTCCAACCGAAGAGAAGAAGAATAGAGACGGGAACCATGTATAACTCAAAGTTCCAGACGATGATCAGATAGGACTGAAATCAGGGGAAAAAATAATAATCACATTAACCTCAACTCCCTAGGCATTTTTGCTGGGATGCAACCTCAATCCTGCAAAATCCTCCAACTGCCTCTGTGTAAAAATGGCCTACAGCCTCAATCCTGCAAAATCATCCGTTATTTCTTGAATGTGGTCCTTGGAGGGGTGACCACTGCCTCAGTCCTGCCAAATCCTGGGTCAATTCGAATGCAGTGTTTTGTAATACAACAATAGCCGGGCGCATTATCGCGTAACATGATACAGAGCGTGTGACACAGCTTTTTTTGTATCCATTCCCTATGACGCGCAACGGGTGAATGACCGAAGACTCCATTTAGAAAGCACCCGCTGATTGGTCAAATTTAGAGGTCAAGAGGCGGTTTCTTGCCTAATTAATCAGCAAATCTGCTCACATATTTGCCGTGTTCTATTACATACACCAACATATTACTGCTTTTATATCATTTTGTTTTTAAGAACATTGTTGCGAGAAAGAAATAAATACCCCTGAAAAGTTGACTTACGGCAAACGCGATGGTACTGCGTGCTTTGCTCTCCCACTGAAAGCAGCTGTTGATGAATTTGGTCGTGTCGAGGATAACACCGATGAGTCTGGTCACTCTGGACAGGTTATACTGTAGAACCTACGACAGGATAAACCAGTTCAACATGGAATCAACTGTCGTGTCAACACAGAAAGGGACCCAACCCGAGACTTAACGAACAATGTAGAGTGTTCTATTAACCAAGTTATTGAGAATGTTTTTAGCAGGCTTCCGATTTGTCAAAAATATTGTAATGTAAACTGGGCTTCAAGAGTTCTGAGTCTCACAAACGACAGTGTCGCAGTGTGTACATATCCTGGGTGGAGAGGGGCAAGTAGAGTGAAGTGGCTTGCCCAAGGACACAACATATGGCCCGCAGACGGAGAATATTTCTATTCCCCCTGGATGGGATGCTAGTCCATCGCAGGTTTCTCCCCAGCTAATGCCGGTACCCATTTATACTCCTGGGTGGAGAGAGTCAAGTAGGGTGAAGTGGCCTGCCCAAGGACACAACATATGGCCAGTAGGCTGAGAATATTTCTATCCCCCTTACATGCCTTAGATGGGATGCCAGTCCATCGCAGGGTACTCCCCAGCTAATGCCAGTACCATTTATACTCCTGAGTGGAGAGGGGCAAGTAGGGTAAAGTGGCTTGCCCAAGGACACAACGTATGGCCAGGAGACTGAGCATATTTCTGTTCCCCCTGGATGGGATGCCCGTCCATCGCAGGTTACTCCCTAGCTAATGCCGGTACCCATTTATACTCCTGGGTGGAGAGAGGCAAGTAGGGTAGAGTGGCATGCCCAAGGACACAACATATGGCCAGCAGACTGAGAATATTTCTACTCCCCCTTAGATGGGATGCTAGTCCCTCACAGGTTACTCCCCAGCTAATGCCGGTACCATTTATACTCCTGGGTGGAGGGGGGCAAGTAGAGTGAAGTGGCTTGCCCAAGGACACAACATATGGCCAGCAGCTGGATTCAAACCCGACCTTCCGATCATGAGTCACGAACCCTTACCACTATAGGCCAAACCCCACAAATATTTTCTACACTTAATAGGCATAAGTGTGCTTTGCTTCATGTAATTTTAACTCCAGTTGTTAGATTTTGGTGGTTTTTGGGTGTTGGCGCGAATATTTGTTTCGATCAACTTACCGAGACTTTGAACTTTGCGTCCTGTTCCAGGTATTTTTCTTCCCTGGGGTTGACTGTTCTGACCGCCGCTTTGATCTGAATATAGAAATAATACCATGAAAATGAAAAAAGAATGAAGAAATTTCAAACAATACAAGACTTTGTACAGTGTTTTTCAATTTGTAATGGATTCACGAGAAGTAAAAAAACGAAGAAATCAGTGGATCTGAAGAAAACTTGCATGCCTACATGTATGTCGACACATGTCAATACCTCGAGTTCAAATGCAACGAGTGCTCTAATGTTCAACGTTTCAAATTTTGAAGATAACTTTTTGTATATTTTTTTTTGTAACCCCAAAATCATAGCTGCCAACATTTCAAAATCCCAATTAGTAATCAACCCGCGCGGTCATTTTCAACTTCTCGTTTTATCAAAAGCTTTACCAACATCGAGTACAGGTACATGGTTTACATGTACACATACATGTGCATACCCTTCTTGTTGTGAATAATAATGTACTGTAGGCCAAAAGATAATTTAAAAAAAAAAAAAAAAAAATATTTTTTTTTTTTTTTTTTTTTTTTAATTAATTTTGTTTTAATGTCTGTATTTGTTTGTTGAAGTCAAATAAATAATAACATCAATAACATGTGCGCATATTTTTTTGGAGATGCAATCATGCATGCTATCGATGTTGAGTTTCGAGTTCGTATCATGTTTTTACACACAATGATCTATGGCCACCGTATGCAATAGAAATATCCCGCCAACATACCTTGCAAACGCATGCTGATTTATCTTTTCTGTCCGCTGTGACAAACTCAAACTCTATTACCAATTATTCCAACCATACTCTTATTAAATTCCATGATTAAAATCTCGCACTGATGGGTCTCATCAGTGACTCATAAGCGACTAAATGTGCTCACGATCGTCACTGAAAAGTACTCACATACAGTACACGTACACAACCACACATCCACGAGATGCACACAAATGACACACCATTGAAAAATATTTTTAGTCTGATCCTCAAGTACTCCACTGCGCACACTGCATTGATGTCTATCAGGTGCTTGACTGCATTCTTATTAGACTTGTCACCAGTCCATCCATTATTGCGACATTTCGCCAGAAGTTTTCGGTCAAAAACGATACTTTACATTTTTTTTTTTTCGTTAGGTAGAAAATGGGAAATTCGTAATTTTTTAGTGGCAAATCGTATTTTCGTTATTTAACAAACAATTCGTAATAATTACGAAAAAATCGTACTAGTTGGCAGCTATGCAAAATTCTTTTGGTTCTCCTAACAGGCAAACGTTTTTGAAACAACATGACAATTTTCTCAAAAGACCTCATTTTTCCACACCAATATACAAAATGGACTTGTGATGGACTTGTGATGGACTTGTGATGACTTTTGATGACTTGTGATGGACTTGTGATGGACTTGTGATGACTTTTGATGACTTTTGATGACTTGTGATGACTTGTGATGGACTTATGATGAACTTGTGATGACTTTTGATGGACTTGTGATGGACTTGTGATGGACTTGTGATGGACGTATGATGACTTGTGATGCACTTGTGATGGACTTGTGATGACTTATGATGACATGTGATGACTTGTGATGGACTTGTGATGGACTTAGGAGGACTTGTGATGACTTGTGATGGACTTGTGATGGACTTGTGATGACTTGTGATGACTTGTGATGACTTGTGATGGACTTGTGATGGACGTATGATGAACTTGTGATGACTTTTGATGGACTTGTGATGGACTTGTGATGGACTTGTGATGGACTTGTGATGGACTTTGATGACTTTTGATGACTTGTGATGGACTTATGATGAACTTGGGATGGACTTATGATGAACTTGTGATGGACTTATGATGACCTGTGATGACTTGTGATTGATCCATGATAGACTTGTGATTGACTTGTGATAACTTGTGATGGACTTGTGATGGTCTTATGACCTGTGATGACTTGTGATGGACTTGTGATGACTTGTGATGGTCTTATGACATGTGATGGACTTCACAAGCACCATGGCTATGACCCTGCTACTCACACTGTTGAAGACAAAGTCCATCTCCAGTAAGATGGCTCCTTTTGCTCGTCGCCTCATCTTCTTGTCCTTCAAGGCGTAGTATTTCCTTTCCCCATTCTTAACCTAGAAGATAAAAGACCGTCATTTGTTTCGTTTCCCAACTGTTGAAGATACCTCATTCCAAAATAAAAGATTAAAATTTAGCGAAAATGCTGCAAAATACTAATTAATTGGGTTGACCTGAAACATACAAATCGAAAAAGTTGCAGGGCACAACGTCTCAATGTTAACAGGAACTTTCTCAACTGCAAAACGGTAAGGCAAAGTTTAAAGGGAATGTACATCATTGGCTTTTGCTGTATTTTTCAGAAACTGACTATTTGAGGGGTTAGTATAATAGATCAAATATTGTTACACTGACATGTTTGAAGTTTTGTGTTCGAAAATGCTGGAAAAACCAAGAAAAACCAAAATGTTCAAGTAGTCTGGTTCCCTGACTCCACTAAAGATGAAATGGATCAATTTATAGATGCCGGAAATATGTAAGGTAAGGGAACAGGCTAGCTGGCCTGCACCCGTTCATGAACATGTAACCAATAGCAAACACAATTTGGGCTGAAAAAAAGGGTAAATTTGGAGCTGTAGTTAGAAAATAGTTAGGTTTTTCCAACGGTGGTCAGCCGACCACCCTTGGAAATTTATACAAAAATACCACTTTTCTTGAAAATGACTTCACACCAGGTGCCATAATTTTACAGGATGCTTTAGACTGTCATTTACCAACATCCTAGTAAGGTATTTCATAAACATTTGGTAGTTTTGTTTTTCGATGTTTGCAATGTTGTAATTCCCTTTAAGCCAATGTTTTTGCAATTTTGTTGCAGAGGGAGAATTCCACCGGGATCCATACCAATTCTCTGGCCTTTCCAAAAACTGCCTGTCCAATAAATGCCTGAAAATTCTGGTGGTACAGTATAATAGTTAATAGACTGCGCACTTTCGGGGGTTAAATTGAGCCAAGGAAAAATGGTAACTTACCCTTAACAGCGGGATCTCAACTTTGCCAAGGAATTCAGGACTGCCGTGTTTGTCTTCGTCGTAAACCGTCACCTCCAGTATGGAATGGATATCCTTGGCATTGCTGTAAAAAGGTGACAAATGACAACAAAATAAACTCTTGAAAGGACAATGCATTACCGAGAATTTAGAGGAATTTCCTTAAATCTTGAAGCAAGTTTTAAATTCATGAAAAAGCAGATTGTCTTATTTATGATTTGGTGCATTCAAGGCTATTCACACTACAGCACGTCCAAAAATACCCGCAACATTTTTTTTTGGCGCGGCTCTAGTGTTGCCGTGGAAACACGTACCGCCATGATTGTTATCATCATTTTAAAGCTTGGAATCCTAACTTTATCCCTGGTGAGAATTTTCAAAAGGGTTTTGAAATGATTTGTGTTCAAATAAAGGCATGTCAAAAACAAACTCAACCGATTTCAAGGAAAATCAATCATACGCATTTGTTTGTAATGTGGACATGTTTCATCAATTTGGAGAGAAGCAATTTTAGTTAAGTGTCTTGCCCAAGGGCACAAACACCATGTTCCTGGCAGGGTTCGAACCCACGTACCATCGTACATGAGTCAAACACCGTAACCACTGGACCATGGCATTAAATCTTTTATGAGGATTTTGGAGTAATGATTGAATGATTTCTATTTGTCTTGTAAAAACAAGTTGTTAAAAATTACAATAACTTTAACAGCTGTAAATGACAGGAGGAAATGGGGAAATGGAAGATAAATTTTGAACAGTTTAGAGCTCCAAGTTGGTATGGAACAAAAACCTTGACTAATCCTGCTGGAAGATCCGGGTTCACTGTTTGTCCCGGAAATAAGACGGAAATCAACGGAAACCAACGGAAACCAACGTGGGAGGAAATCACCAGGTGGGTATCACGATAAGATCAACAAAAACCACCGTAAAAAGCCCAAAATGAAAAACTTGATGGGTTATTCTATTTTGACAAAGGGGTGTCGTGACTGACGTCTGAAAAATTTCACTAGTTTCATCTGTTTATTTTCAAATAAACCTGCACAAGAAAATTAACCTAAGCAATCCCGACAAAATGAAGGCACTCAAAAAGAAAAACCTTAAAATGAACTTTTGTAAATTTATGGTTCCGATCATATCAAACCCGATGCATAGATGTCCACCCCCCCCCCCCCCTTCAGCTAAATGTGGCTATCTTCAAGTCTGGTTCTAAACTATAAAGTAGAGTGACTATTCGGCAGGATTGTCACACCACCTCATTTCATCGGTGAGTTGGGACATCTTTTCTTCTGCTACTGAGCCGAACTTCACAACAGAATCTCCCAAGATGAATTGGGTGAGTTTTCAATACAATTAAGTCAATGTCAAGAACTGGAATCACAAAAGTCCACAAGAAAGAACTTGCTATGAAAAAGAATCTTGAAGCTTAAAAAAAATCAAGAACAAAAGTTTGCGCATATATACAACAGGGGAGGTAGACAAAACAAAGTGTTCCAATAGGTAGCCAGTGAATTCATACAGCATGTGAACATTTCTCAGTTGAAACTATTGTCACTGCTTTGAGATAAATGCCAGCCTGATGGATCACATTGGCTCATGACAGACTTTACTATTATTTTCTCACTTGTTCGACGTGACAAAGTCTTTACTCAGTAAAATTATTAAAATGAAAGTCAAAAAGAAAGTGTGTACATAAATCCTACATGTTTTTGGTGTTTCACCAAATCTGACTTTCAGAGAACACATTTCAGTTTTTTGTCACCCAAGTCACTGAAATAGTTTTTGGATCGAGGCTTATCTTAAAAAGAAAACTTTCTAAAAAGGAAAGTTTGAGAACTGCTTTGTGATGGATAATTTTAAAAACATTTTTCTTTTAATCAATTTCAGGTGAAATTTCTACTTCCACTTGTGGTTTTGACTTTGAGTCTTCCTGGCAACGGTGCACGCGTAGACATAATGCAGACAGCAACAGATACCCCACTAGGACAACAATCCGACATGGACCTCCCAAAGGGCTGTAACACCTGCTGTCACGTGATCGTAGGTCCTCCAGGACCGCCGGGGATTCCGGGCATCCCCGGAATTCCAGGTCAAGGACAGAAGGGGGAGTCTGGTTTGAAGGGGGAGATTGGAGAGACAGGACCAGCTGGGGAGAAAGGAGATCGGGGACCTCCAGGAAAGCTTGGTCCTAAAGGAGCTCCTGGCGTCGGTCTTCCAGGAGAGGTCGGAGCAACCGGAGACCGTGGCAGCAGAGGTGCTCCTGGGGTAAATGGGGCTAAAGGTGCCCCAGGAGTTGGAGAGACGGGAGCAAGAGGGCCGGTAGGACCTACGGGGGATCAAGGAGCAACTGGTGGCAGAGGGCCTCAAGGAGTTATTGGACCTGAGGGGAAACGTGGGCCGCAAGGACCTCCAGGATCACAAGGAACTAAAGGTGATAGAGGTACCCTAGGACCTAGGGGCTCAAAGGGCGACCGTGGCGTATCAGGACCTGCAGGACCTAAAGGGGCAATGGGTGGGAGAGGCTCTACGGGTGCTACAGGACCTAAGGGAGATCGTGGGATGACAGGACCTAAAGGGGCAACAGGTGGGAGAGGATCTACAGGAGCTACAGGACCTAAGGGCGGCCGTGGGGCGACAGGACCTGCAGGACCTAAAGGGGCAACGGGTGGGAGAGGCTCTACGGGAGCTACAGGACCTAAGGGAGATCGTGGGACGACAGGAACTAAAGGGGCAACAGGTGGGAGAGGATCTACAGGAGCTACAGGACCTAAGGGCGGCCGTGGGGCGACAGGACCTGCAGGACCTAAAGGGGCAATGGGTGGGAGAGGCTCTACAGGAGCTCCAGGACCTAAGGGCGGCCGTGGGGCGTTAGGACCTGCAGGACCTAAAGGGGCAACGGGTGGGAGAGGCTCTACGGGAGCTACAGGACCTAAGGGAGATCGTGGGACGACAGGAGCTAGAGGGGCGACTGGTGGGAGAGGCTCTACAGGAGCTCCAGGACCTAAGGGAGATCGTGCGATGATAGGACCTATAGGACTTAAAGGGGCAAAGGGTGGGAGAGGTTCTACAGGCCCAAAGGGGAATCGTGGGGCAACAGGACCTAAAGGAGCCACTGGCAGTGCAGGTCCTGAAGGAATGAGAGGTCAAAAAGGGGAGAATGGGCATCGTTTCTTCAGGCATGGGGGTTCAGACCCATGTGAATATTGTTAATTTCAACATTTAACAGGATCATTTCCTCCAACAATGCTCACCTCACCACATAGGGATCAATGTCACCCATTATTAAACATTTTTTAACAAACTCACCATTCTGGGGGATACTAATGCTTTATGCTACTATTTTTATGACATAGGAAAATTTTGATAAAAACAACAAACCTCTATCCTCACAATATAATACCGAAGACCAAAATACCACGGTTCCGTAAAGTTCGCGCATGTGCCGGGCATTCACGCGCAACTGCGTGTCAGTTCTTGATGTCGGTGACGACACATACCCATCTACTCCTGGTTGGAGAGAAGCAATTGATTAATTTCAAGTTGACACTGAAAACCGGGGGGCCTTAGTGCGGTCTTTGAGTGGATTAACAAAAAGAAAAGGTCCCCAACAGCATAGCACTGACAGACGTGGTCTCAATTCCAATTTTGAAATTATTCAGTTAGTGTAAAGCGTCCAGCCTAGGGACATGAGTGCGCCAAACTATACTCACAATGTGAAGACTTTGCCCCATTCTGGGTTGAGGGTCTTGTACAACGTCTGGGTCTGTAGTCTACTGTTGACTAACTCCAGCACACAAAATGGATCGCTCTTGCCTGAAAATAAAATGTTAATAAAATCTGAATTTGTTGATGAGCAGTATGTAAGTGGAATCCAGCGACTAGAATTAGAAACCGAAGCTGCGGTGGTGTAACGCTAATACACGCATGCTGCACATGTTTTTAAAGATAAGACACACGCGCATCTTGATATTCCAATTGGTCAACGGAGCCTCTTACTCCCGGAGCACGACTTGTACGAGACTGGTACCACTTCAGAAAATAGCTGCTGCCAGAATTGACTATATCTATAATTAGTTTCTAGTTTTAGGAGGAACTATACCGGTACATGTAATTTCGTAATATTGACCTGTTTGTTCAAATTATATTTACGAAAATAACGCCATATAATGTGTATAATATGTATCATCGGCAATGTTAGGCCAAAAAAAAAAAATAGTCGGTCTCTGGTAAGACCACAGTTTCGGAATTGATGCGGCAACGCAGCTTTTTTTTTTTTTTCAAGCTTGGATTGTACAGACAAGGTGGGGTACTATTTTGCTTTTTTTTTTGTGTCCTCATGTACATTGGTGTCCTCCATAATTTGCCTTGGTGCCCTCGATCATTTGCCTTGGTGCAAATTCCCATTCCTTGGTGCTCTTTGGTAAAAAAAAATTGAGGAGGTGCGGCAATAGAGGGCGCTGTTGGAGCTACCGCGGAACATTTTGGAAAAAAAAAAAGATTGATGCGCACGATTAAAATCGACGCGCGCGCTGACCACAGACCAACTTATTTTTTTTTTTGCCTTAAATGGATTTTTCTTCTACTAGAAATGTTCAGTTTTTAGAAGCAAAAAAAAGAAGAAAATTTGACACAAAAATTTCAGAGACTAAAACCAATATTTTGAGCAATCTGACACAGATAAGGATCCAATTTCATTAAGGAGAGAAATGTTCTACGCACCAAATATATTTGTTTAGTTAACACAGGTTACCAGTCAAAAAGCCATGCTAGGTATATTTGATGCAACTGGTACTCGGCAGATTTCTGCTCAGCAAACCAATTTTATAAGCATATTTTTTATTTCTGCTTAGAGGACCAATGCAATGTAAATTTTTTTAATGTAATCCTTGAAAATGCACCTTTGTGTCCCATTTTAAAACCTTATTTTCTATTTTTTGTACCATTTTCAATGGTATTTTGGTGCCTTTTGGGTTTTTTTTACGTCAATCCAAATTTCCATATTCATGAGCAAAAGTGTGATATCATTTCAGGCAGAAACCTCAATGTTACAGCTTTTTCAGCACTAAAAGCTGCCAGAATTTTGGATATTTTGCTGACGTAAATTTTCTTTTCTATGGTGATTCGTTGTTGCGTCATGAGCAAGTTTTTCTCACAAATGTTTTCAATGAGAAAATTTGGGTTTCACAATTTTAACAGAAAACCCCTCAACTGAACAGTGTCTTCCTGAAATGACACCACAGCAACAGCGCCCTCAGTTGTCCGGAAAAGCATGGAAATTTTATTAAATGTTTATGTAAAAAATGCCCTTTTCAATAACATTAACCAAAAAGCGATGTCAAACCGCTTTTTTTGTCACAAGAGGGCGCCAGACACTCACCTCCCAAGTCAGCTGAAGCCAGTCCTTGTGCTTTAATAACTGCACAGAAAAAAAATGGAATTTGATTTATAAAAATTACTTAATTTTTGTTATACTCTATAAATGTATACATGTAGGCTGCTATCATGTTAATGGTGATTTCAATAAAACATTCTTTTCCAATATTTACTTTCAAACTCACGGAACTGACTAAAATTTGACTCTTTTTTTTTCCAAATTGGAGTAATACTCACACACCTTATTCATGAGGATGCCATTTTGGTCGTGTTCCCTGAATGTATTTTATAAATTGTAAACTGTTGAATGGGATGGTGCCAGACTATTTGTGCATTCCAAATCTCATTTTCAATTTGTTTTTTAATTTGGCTTACACATCAGGGTATGTTTTATCACAAATTTCAAATTATTCATCACAGCAGACTGCTATTAATGTGTAATTAACTTTTGTCTCATTAATTTCATTTCTATTTGCAAGTTCCAAAAAATGAAGATTTTACGTCGCTTTCAATTTCATATGGCCGACACATGAATAAAGCCTACACTTGTGACAGAAAGTCAAAGAGTGAATTTTTTTAAAAACAATTACTAAAAGATTACAAGATACAATTTAAAAATTCTTCATCTATTTTCTGGGACTGATTTTAGAAAATGTAAATACCGGAACTTATTCATTTATTTATTTATTATCCGCATCCAACAGCAGAAAAAGACCCGCCAATTACAGGACTGGGTTAAAAATATTATAAAATCATAAAAAAAAAAATTAGAAAATATGAAAATGTTAAGTTTTTGAAAGTCACTGATGTCAGTAAATACACAAAAACATAAAAGTCAACAATGACTGGCTGGGGTCAGATGACCTTCGCACACCACGACATTTTGTAATTTGTATCCATGGCAACATGTTATGCATGATGGGATGCACTATGGGAGGTATCGTTGGATGTAATTGGCTATTGAGTTATTGGACTTACAACTTGCAATCAATCAAAAACGCACCTGCCGTTGGTCACAAGGTCATTGTGTTGATGGGGGGGGGGGGGGGGGGTAGTTGGCACAGTAGGTGGGGGGAGGTGAGAGAGACTGTAGGGTGAGGGGAGGGGGTAAGTGAACAGGGGTTGGGCCCACTGAATGTGGGTTGGGGTGGGGTATAAGTTTAGGGTGCAGGTATACCAACTCACATTAACCCTTTCCTTACCATGGGCGACTTTTGTCGACAAGAAGAACCCCCCTGCTGATTCCCATGGTCGACTTTAGTCGACCAGGAAACCACACACAGAACACCCTCAACACAGATATATTCACTACTTTTCAGAAAGGCGGCATGTTGATATGTTTGGCCGCCCATACATCAACCATATACCAGCTGAAAGAGTGTTTTCGGATCGTTCTAATGGTGTAGTTTATTCATAGTGTTGCCATTACAAAAAAAATGAGAAAAGTGCTTCAGAAGTATCCACGCACAAATTGAGGTATGGAGTGCTATTTTGGTCATGTGGTGAAATGGCTTGCAGTTTGATAAATGGAACCAGATGAACAAACAGGCATAACTTTCTTATATTTACACATGTGGACTTCATTTTTACATCACATAAAAGAGTAAGGTTCAAGGAACAAACTTTACACACAACACCTATGATTTAAATCACTCCTTGGCAGTGAAAATCTGGGTTGAAAAAAGTGACTTTTTGACTCGTGCTCATTTTGTTCACGCTCTAGTGATTTCCGCATGACTGAGCAAACAATTTGGTCCTGGGGAGAGCCAAGTCAATAAACAATGTGGTAATGAAAGGGTTAAAAACTAAAAATTTAGTTTTGCATAAAAATCTGAGGATTGTTACTTTCATACAGTACATATTTTACAGAAAGCTGGATAAATATCGGAGTTCTGATAATAGAACATTCCAATGATGAGAGTGATACGGTAACCATGGTAACATGAAGCATTACCTTTGACCTGAAGCCAGCCGACATCCTTCAAGTCTTTCAAACTGTTCAGAATCCCCTGCAAGACACAAAATACATCACCAACTTTGTCAAATTTGCCGGCTCCAACTGCTCATCACGTCTGAGCAGTTTCTGTTTAGTTAATACACAAAGAATAGTGATCGTGTAGTTTCAGACGCCATGATTATTGTACAATGGTGGCAAACGTGACAGAATCCTAAACTAATGTAGAAAAACTATGCAATAAAAAATGAAATTTAGCACGCAGTTTTCGTTTTTCTGCCATTTTTGTTGACAGTTGGTCCCCTTTGCACTATGCTATGAAAAATTGCGATTGATAACCAGCTATAAATCGTAGCGCAACCATCCGCGGTAGGCTGGTCCTGAATAGTCGACTAGACTAGTCCAACCATTGTCATCTAGCGTGTGTTCAATCAGAATTACCGAACTATGGTCAACTATGGTCCTTGATCGAACTTGCCCCAACCTCGTCCCCAGCGCTTACTTTATTTCCAACACGGTTTCCAATAGTAAACCCTGGATAGGAAACTTTCTTCCTGTATCCTGATTCGATACCGCAATTGGCTAGTAATGGATTTTTATCGTGTACTTGGTGTTGTTATTCACAACGTGCAGTACGTGTTTTCGCGATCATTCGTCCACGCCTTCTCGAAAATATTAATTTCCTTTCCAATTTGTTAATATTAATATGAAATGTGATACTGCATATTGTTTCGTTAAGATCGTAACAGTTTAATTGAATAAAAATCGTGTTTTCGTAACTCACGCCATGCTCGCGCTGCTACGATTTGACTCTGTTTTTACCCCAGACACCGCATACAAAAACAAACGCTAATGTAACGCACATGCAGGCAACAGACTATTCCTCATTTGCATACGTGTGCAAAAATCTTGCACATGCAAATGATCCAATACCAGGGTGAGAGAGCAGGTAGTGATGGGCGCGTACTGCTCGACAGCCTGGGTACGAGGTTGAACTTGCCCCTTGTTGCTAGGCTAACATAGCGCCCTCTTTAGTTCCACAAAGTCCAGCCCAATTGCCTGTAATAGTACTTGGAACAACGATACAGCTATACTCACATATTTTTTATACAGCATCCTGTCCGTATTTGGATCGTGCTTGAAGTTTGCGAGATCTGAGATGCTCTCCGTTCCAGACGTTCCTGTGATGGTCAGTAGAAGGGACAACGTCCCCGCTCCGTCTTCTAGCTCCAAGTCGCAATGATGGGTCTCCTCACGATTCAAGGCAGATATATCAATCTGACTCCTGAAGTAAAGGACAACAATTACCACATTCAAGGACTGTGATTTATTCCCCCTTAAAATTGATTGGCCAAATAGGCAACATTTATTTTTGCTGTAATTTTCAGAAACAGATATATTTGGGGGTTTGTATTTTATTGCAGATATTGTTACACCGACCTGTTTAAGTATTGTGTTCGTTGATGCTGGAAAAAAACAAGAAAGAAAATGCTGTTCTTGTAGTCTAGTTCCCTGACCCCACTTCAGACAAAATGTAGCATTTTTAGACGTCGGGGAATTGTCAGGTCGGGAACCAGACTAGCTGGCTTGCACCAGTTCATGGATATATAACCGATTGCAAAAAAAATGCAGATATAACTAAATTTTTTAAATTGGGGGCAAGTATTGGAAAAAGTCTTCATTTTTTCCAACGATGGTCGGCTGACCATCGCTGGGAATTGATACAAAAATTCCACTTTTCTTGAAAATGACAGCACATCAGGTGCCACGATTTCACAGGATGCTTGAGACTATTATTCCCTTGCAGTCAAGTAAGGTATTTCATAATAATTCATCGCTTTTGTTTCTAGATGTTTGCACATGTATGTTATATATTACCTTTCAATTAACACATCTCATATCTACCACCAACTACATGTAACTTGAAATTTAGAACAACTATCTGCAACTGAAGTACAACAGAAAGCAATTCGAAGGTTACCTAATTGTCCAAGCCTTGATTGTAATTTTCCTCGAATTCCAAACACTACCAAAACAGTGGAGATGCAAATTAATAATAATAATAATAATAATAATGCGTATTTATAAAGCGCACGTATCCACCATTATTGGTGCTCAAGGCGCTACATCATTATTACCCTGCTCATTGGGCCAATAAAACATGCCAAAGACAATCTCAGCTCCCTGGGGAGTATACAGCTCCATGCTGCCATTTTGGCACAAGGCAGCTACAATCAATCACAATAATCATCTCTACCCTCACAGGTACCCATTTACTCCTGGGTGGAGAGAAGCAATGAGTGACAAAGTGCCTTGCCCAAGGGCACACGCACCATGACCCCAGGCTGGACTCGAACCCACAACCTGCAGAATTACCCGCAGACCACGAATTCAATGCTCCAGACCACGAGGCCACTGCACTCCACATTATATCAACACGACTTTTTTAAAGCCTCCCTTTTCATTTTTGGTCTGGAATCTCGCCTGCGACTCGGTCCGTTTTTAGAAACAATTCACCAGATGATATCAATCTGCCCTGAAGTCTGTTTTCTTTGAGATAATCTTGTTCACATGATTCCCCACTCTTCGTGCTTTATCCCCACTTGCCTCTCTCCACCCAGGAGTATAAGTTGATACCAGCATTAGCTGGGGAGTAACCTGCAACGGACTAGCATCCCATCCAGGGGGAGTAGAAATATTCTCAGTCGTTTCTTGCTACTGAAATGGGCCACATTGGCTTGTGACAGACTTTTTACTTTTTACTTTTTACAGAGAGAGCAGTTTTAAAGTTGACGACTTAATCGTTGCAGCACGATGCTTATCATACCTGCCCATGATGTCGTCCCTTGAACCGACATCCTTATCCCAAACGGAGATCTCCAACGTATTAGTCTGGTCCTCAAACAGCCTCACGTCAAACTGCTCCATCCATTTGGGATTCAGGGTACCTTTTTCTGTCTACAAAGTTTTAAAAAAAAAAATCATTTAACAGAGGATAAAAGTTCTGCAATAACTCATTTTGAGAAACTACACGACTGACCGACTGGCACAAGCAACTTAGCCTGGTTGTTGGCTGGGGACAAGAGCCGGGCAGTGCTGTTGTATAGGATTACCCCGTAATTGGCTCAATCCGGCCCGTTGTGCAGACCAGATGCATGAAAAGACGTCCAGTGAATAGCCGTTCTGGGAAAGAAGGTTGCAACCTGACACCACTTTTTTCTTCGTATATCATCTCTATTTAATTTTTGTGTAGACATTTCGAGCATGGGTTGGCAGGCCTTAGGGCTACAGTGTTTTAGTACACTTTTGTTTACCCCGGCCGGTTTGGAATATTATATTGTTTTTGTTTTCTGTCCCTCTATCTCCTCTCCCCTGTCAAACTGTCCACCCTCCCTCCCCTCCCCCGACTCCTACTCGCATTCTTCAGTCTTGTCTGGTCTTACTTTTCAATTTCCAATTTTTGTTTACTTTTTAATTTTTATTTGCTTTGTCATTGTACTTTTGTTCATTTGTTGGCCGAATAAATAATAATAATAATAATAATAAAGGTTAGCCAGGTCAGCCATTGCAAAAATGATGATAAGACATGAATTTGGGACTGAGAAACGTTTCCAATTTTGTTAGGAAATACTTAGACAATTTTCTTGACTCTCCATGGATAGACTTTGTACACAACCGCTGAAGTTGCGTCTGGATACTACATGTACATACTTTCCCCACTCAGAATCAATTGAATGGAATCATTTGCACTCTGGTACAAACTGAACAGCTTTTACCTCGTCTTGTTTTACGGATTTTTGGCAGAAAGTTCTTTTTGGAAAGGGAGTAAATTTACGGAAAATTGTTTACCTTGCTTTTGTATTTTTCGCTGCCAAGTTTGAATTTGACGTAGGGATCACTCAGACCGTTGTCGTCCATGGGGATTAGATTCTTTCCTTCCAAGAGCGTGATTGTTACGATGCCGTTCCAGAGCTGCGATTTCACCTTCCGGGAACCGGACGGGTTCTCGCTTTTCCGTCGTTTTGATAACGTGTTTGCCTGCAAAGCAATGGACAAACAGAATTTATAAAAATACATTATTCACGATCAAAACACATCCAAATGTGATGAAACTCTGAACATTTTAAAATCTTCTTTTCATTGAAGTAAAAAAAAAAAAAGCGCAATTTACATTTTTCTTCAGACTCTGAGTTTAAAGTTAAACTTTAAAGCAATTTCTTTAGAATAAATTTTCAATAAATGTGAAATGTTTTTCTTTGTAAATGTTCTAAATTAATTGTTTTGTTAATTAAATATTTTCATTAATTAACCCTCCCTCTCTGGCTGGCAATTTCAACAAGGCCAGCCCAGCAGTCAAAATAAATCAAGTGACTGTTTTTAACAGTTGAGTGCTCCCTGCCTTCATAAAGCAGGATTGACTGGTTGCGATTGTTATGAAACCTGATAAAGCTGTGCTTTGACTGTAGGAGATTGATAAGCCAGCTGTGCCCACCAGTGACCTGCTTGTGTCTGTTGATGGATTTTGACTGTCACAGTGCCTACAAGAATATGATCTGACTGTTGGTGACTAGCCTGTGTCACAGGCATGGCAGGCCTAGGGGAACAGGATTGAACTTTTGACTGTGGCCTATCAAGCAAGAAGGTTAACAAATATACATTTATTGCAAACAGTCATGCTACCGGTAGGTTGAATATTTGCCTTATATATGCACGAGTCGGCCATATTGAATTGAAAGTGAGGTAAAATCTTAATTTTTGGAACTTGCGAAGAGAAATGGAAGCAATTTAACAAATGAATTCCAGTGTGCTTCAATGAATAATTTAAAATTTGTAATTAAACATTCTCTAACGTTTAAAGCTAGATTTAAAAAAATGATAATAAAATAAGGCTGCATTATGCCTGCATAAATAGTCTGGCGCCATCCCATTCAACAGTTAACAATTAATGAAATACATTCAGGGGACTCGACAAAAATGGCCAACTCATGCTTGTACTTGATGCAACTGAAATTCAAGCGAGAAATTCAAGCAATGGGATTAATTCTTAAACTTGTTGACCAAATTGTGTTTTCATGTTTTCGCCTCCGTTCAGCAGTCACCGACGTCTTTTAAAAAAGTTCATCGCCTCACTAATAATGGCTCGGTACTGAATACAAATGCTGCACAAGGACTCATGGGAAATAAAGGACACCAGTTGGAAAGCTATTAAGAACAGACCATGTCTTCTGGATGGGGCTAATTTTCCTTGAGAAGTTGAACGACATCTTTAAGTGATCACGTTACTCCAGACTCTAAATTTCCCACGGGATATATAATAGGAGACGATGGAGTGCTGTTTCTCATACTGGAGATGGATCGTCCAAGTTCCAACAACCCAAAAAACAAATAAATGCAGTGAAAATAAACCTGAGATGCTAGCTTGTCGTTCTAAAGAGGTTTACGTCTGAATAAAAAGGATTGCCATATGCACATGTGGATCGTTTCAGTTGAGCGTAATAAGGCTTATTTCCCACGGTAACATGCATTAAATGTCAACCGCCATGGAACGATGCGCGACTATTACAAGATGCAAAAGTTTCAACAAATGTGTATCTTGCTTCCAATACGGCTAAGTAAAAAATAAACTAGTTTCTCAGTCCTCCTGCTTCCGTTTTTTTTCCGGCTGAATCCTTTATTTTTAAATCAATCATTTGCAATACTGTTAGTTACCAAGTATTTTATGTCCTTCCAGCAAAATGTAGTCATGCAGTCAAGTTTAAAATCTGTTTTAAGGCCTACGACTCAGTTTTGACGCAAAAGTAACAGCAACAGAGTCAAGAAGATGGAAAAATCCATCTTGAAAAATCTGCCATCTTGAAAAAAGAAGAAAAAGGGTTCCTCTTTCCTACCTTTCAAAAAGTCTGGATGAGATTTTGCTTTTTTTTTTTTTTACTTGGCCTTAACCATTTTTTGACACAAAAAACAGCATCAAAAACAACACAATAACTTGATAAAACTCTGTAATCCTTAGGTGTTCGAACCTTCCATAGGTTTTATTCAAATACAATTTAAAATGATGATCCTTTCTTTTGCTGTAACGAAAGGTATATACCGGTACAGTCCATCATTTGCATCTAAAAAGCAAACTTGGTTTAAAGAAAGTAATGGCACAAACTACCTGCGATATTATTCTTTCTGGCACGCTGTCATTTTGAAGAAATCAATGAAAGAAGGCCTTTCCAATGGTGCACCTAAAGACGCATCGTTGGAAATTTTTGTTAGTAGTTCATTTTTTTATTCGGCGAAGCACGTACAAGCATTGACACGAAAAACACACGCACACTGTTGCTATAATTCGTCAGTTCAGTGCGCGACATCGTGAAGCTACAATTGACTCAGTGAGAACGTGTCTCGGACGCTGAGTTCAGGCCCAATTCAAAACATGACTCAGCAACTTTTGATTTAAAATCAAGATCCCAGAATATTGTTTTCTCGGAATATACAGCATTCACCGAGATGAAACTACATCAGGTTAGTTGTTCAGCACCCTTCTTTAGATTTGTTGCTTCAAACGAACATAATGCACAAATTACAAATGATGGATGCTACCTTTACATGTAAGAGTATGCAAGGTATTTCAGTAACATTGTACACTATGAATCAAATTCACGCTTGCTAAAATGGCGTTTTGCTTGGGCATGTCAAAGAATTACACATGATGTATGTCATAAACGTAACCAAAATTTAACCCGCTTGAGATATTCATGGATTTCAGTGTTTTTTATTCTACTGTTGGGCTTCGATCCGCAAGGAGAATACAAAATTGTTCATAAATATACATGTAAGAAGCTTTGATAATAATCTCGTCATTTTTTATCTTTAGATGTGTGGATCACAGCATGCAGCACTATGGCTTAGGGTCAGCATAAAGATGAAACACAACGCTTGAACGAATCAATAATATTATGATAGAGCGCATACTAGGCTGGGTCGGCAATTTGTCATAATGTCAACGTGGTACCACACATGTTTATCATTACATGCCATTATCAGACCATAAACCATTTACACTGTGTACATGCCCTTATTTTATAAACAGAGGATCTTTTACACAGCAAATGGGAGAGTCTTATGTTATGGGCGGCTGAAATCTATTTATTTAGTTTTGAAGACTATAAAACCCAGAATATAAATTCACAGCAGATTTCATCATCATCATCATGTCGGGGTCGCCTGGGTTGTGACGACATCACAGCAGATTTACTGGTACCGGTAGTACATGTATACATTTTGTACACAAAGGTTTTTAAAACGGTCATTAACGGTATAGTCCATCATTTGTAATTTGTGCATTTTGTTCGTTTGAAGCAACAAAAGTGCTCAAGATCTAAAGAAGGGTGCTGAACAACTAGCCTGATGAAGTTTCAGCTCAGCTTCAGCTGTATATTCCGAGAAAAACAGCATTCTAGGATCTCAATTTCAAATCAAAAGTTGCTGAATCATGTTTTGAATTGGGCCTGAATTCAGCGTCCGAGACACGTTCTCACTGAGCCCATTGCAGCTACGCGATGTCGTGCACTGATCCGACGAATTGTAAAAACCGCGCGCATGTGTGTCGTGCTAATGCTTGCGTGCGCTTCACCGAATAACAAAACGAACTACTAATTTGAATTTCCTACGGTGCTTCTTAAGAAGCACCGTTGGAAAGGCCTGCTTTTGTTGATTTCTTCAAAATGACAGCTTGCCAGAAAGAATAATTTCACAGGGAGTTTAGTCCCCTTACTATCTTTCAACGAAGTATGTTTTTCAACAATAATTACGCCAGTTACTTTTTGGATAGCTGAAAATGATGGACTCGGGCTTTAACCATCCTATGCAAACAGTCTGTGCCAAGTTGTCTTTTCAGTCAAAATCAATCAAGTGACTGTTTTCAACAGTTAAGAGCTCCTAGCTAACATAAATCAGGATTGACTGGCTGTGACTGTTTATGTAGCTTGATAAAGCTATGCTTTCACTCTAGGTGATTGATAAGACAGCTGTGCCACCAGTTTCCTGCTTTTGTTGGTTGACTGAATTTGACTAGCCAGAGTGCTTGCCTGGAATATGAACTGACTGTTGGTGACTAACCTGTGTAAAAGGCATGGCAGGGGAAGTGGATGGAACGTTTGACTGTCTGTGACTGTTCAAACATTAGGAGGGTTTTAATCAGCAATGAAATTCAACTTCGAAAACAAATTCATTCACATTTTTCCCACCCAAATCTGCCAAAATTCAATTCTAAACCTTCGCTGAATTTTGGTTGCACGCTTGCCTATTAAAGATACTCGGGAATGTATATAACATAGTACACTACAGATATAAACATTGACCTAGTAAAAACCAACGATGTTTATTGGTACATGTTTACAGTCTTTGGACTACTTCAATTTTTTTTTTCTCCCATCTGTCATAATTCAATTCTTTAATTTTTGCTGAATTTGGGTGTGTGTCTACCCGAGAAACGTGTATAAATGCACTGCAGATATAACTTGGACTGGTACATTGTACAATCAGCAACGTTTATTCACATGTACGTCACCGACTTCACATTGGTTGTTCTGTAAACATGTCTGTCGACAGATCAATGATGTAATTTGTTTCGACAGCAGGCCTAATAATGTCTGATTCGAGTCCAGGCAGACAACGTGCTCCATCATAGCAACCTCAGGTTACATGTACATGTACGTCTGGCCTTGGTAATAGGGCAAGTGAATGCTGCACATGGTGTTTTGAACTTGAACAAGACGAACGATGTAATTATGTGCCAGCGCTGCACGGTTCACCGCAAAGTAATCAGATTACGAAATGAATTATGCAAATGAGTATACACAGTACATTGTCTCGCGAGGTAACATGAAGATGTGACGAAGTGGTAGGCAAAGATGCAAATTTCATGTAATTGACAAATTTACAACAAGATTGGACTAATATTGGACCACTAGTCACAAATATCTAATACATTTCAGAAATTTAGGACTTTTTTTCAGAAAATATTCGAACAATTTGCAGTAAAAACAAAA